AGAAATAAAGAGAACTTGGAAGTATAGATAATACCATATTCATGTACTTCAAGATGAATATTTTTTCAGATGTTCACATATCTGAAATTGGGATGCTTCTTCCAATAGCTGTCAGCCAGGTTACCTTCACTTAGTTGTCACTATCTGTGTGAGTAAACTGGATCATTTCAGTTCGTTATGAGGTAAGTGCGTTGCTGGTACTATATTTGTTGAGTTTAACCGTTTTAAAAATATATTCAAAAAGATAGTGTGATTTAGCACTGAAAAGAAAAGATTTGTGAACACACAGGCACAGAAACAGGACAGTGGAGAGTAAATTTCCTATTGGTGGAGCAAATATTTGTTGTTGTGAGAGGAAAGACTGCAATTTTCTAATTCCATGTCAAGCAACCAAATTCTTCATAGCCCCAGAAAGAAAGGTACCACCTACCCTCAAGTTGGTGACGCTGGATCGTTTTTTCTTGCTGGAATATGTGCAAAGAGATTGTGTATCACGGGGCCGTTGGAGAATTGATGGCTTGAATGAAAACTTCAGAAGCAGTAGTAGAGGATTCTAAGAATTGCCACATTAACTATTGATTTGGACGACACGGAGGATGGTACTGTGTAGACATCAATGACTCGGTGCTGGGCTCTGACTCGGAAGAAACTTTAGGAATACCTGAACAAATCAGTTTATTTATTTCGCTTGTTTTTCCTTTTTCTTGTATGCATGAATGACAAAAAGAAACACACAAAGCTCTGTTTAAGCCTAAAATAATTATTTTGGATAAAAGTAATTTTAATTTAAAAAATTTTTTGAAATAGAGTCTTTGTCACACAGGCTGGAGTGCAGTGGCACCATCTTGGCTCACTGCAACCTCCGCTTTCCAGGCTAAAGCGATTCTTTTTTTTTCTTCCCCCACAGGGAGAAAAAAAGTATTTTCACTTTCAACAGGGAAAAAAAGTATTTTATTTGATAACCAAGTACACACACATATTCACACACACACTTGTATATACAACTAAAACAATTTTTTTTACTCTTACCATGTGGGATGGATTGTGAAATATTATATGTTCTTTCATTTAAAGAGAAATGCTGGTCACCTTTTAGTAAAAAAAAAAAATTCACAAATCACTGATATGTTATAACCCATAACTGCTCTAGAGCATTAACGATGCTAAGGTATAATTTTAAGGAAATATATAGTCATGCTCCTCCTTAGAATTAGCCCATGTGGTATTTTAGGTACTCACCTCAGAGAAAAAGAATTAACATAGCCTTGTTACCATGTATCCTGCCTGGACATGGTACATACTTTCAGTGAGCTTAAATCACTTCCCTTCCTAGGCCCAAGATCTGAGGGAATGACTTGCACTATGTAACAGGACCCTTTGTCTGTGTTACACATTTTTTTTTTCTTTTTGAGACGGGGTTTGACCATGTTGGCCAGGTTGGTCTTGATCTCCTGACCCAGTGATCTGCTCACTTCGGCCTCCCAAAGTGCTGGAATTACAGGTGTGAGCCACCGCGCCCAGCCTTATATTACACATTTTATACGTGTCTTTTTATGTACATTATTTCACTTGACCTTCACAACAACCGTGTGAGGTAGGCAGGGGAAAATATCAGATTCACTTTATAGATAGTAAAGTTAAGGTTCAGAGAGGTTAAGTGACTTTCTTATACCTAGTATGAGGCAGAGACAGGATAGGAACTATTAACTTTTAGGTTGGGGGCGCTTTTCTCTAAACCACATAGCTTCTGAGAGTATAATCTAACCCCCAATTTTTTTTTTTTTTTTTTTTTTTGAGATGGAGTTTCCCTCTTGTTACCCAGGCTGGAGTGCAATGGCACAATCTCGGCTCACTGCAACTTCCACCTCCTGGGTTCAAGCAATTCTCCTGCCTCAGCCTCCTGAGTAGCTGGGATTACAGGCATGAGCCACCACACCCAGCCAATAACCCAAAATATTTTTACTGCTTCATTCTCATTTTCTTATTGTTAATTCAACTTTTTACAGGATACCATAAAAGACCTAATTCTAAATTAATCGTGCTAAATTTATGCTTCTCTACCAATGAAAACTTATGGCCATAGAACACATGTTTTTTTTTTTTTTTTTTTTTTTTTTCTTTTGAAAACAGTTTTGTATGGCACCTGGTATGCAATCCTAAAATGAGAGAACACATGTTTTTTTGGAAAGCACTGTCTCTTTGCATCTAGTCTAAAGGAACATAAGCAATATGAAAGACCCTAGAGGCCAAGGAAATTGAAGAGAAGTCAGAAGAAGGGATATAAAGGGAATGCATTAATGGATTTTAGTCCCTTTAAGCTAGTACTTTTGTGAGAGGGTTCAATGGAGAGCTTTAATGCAGATGAGACTTGAAGCTTTTGAAGATCTCAGTCTTAATGAAGTTATTCAAACTCAAATCTTGAATGCATGATGATGATAGGCCATGGTCTTCAAAAACGTGGTATTCGATGATCTCCCAAAGTGCTAGTATTTGAATACCACAATACGTATTGATTGATGTTTTTGTCCATTAATGGTCCATGAGTTTCTTTAAGTTAAGTCCCTTTTAGAGTCCACAGATAACAGTGTCCTGCAAAACTGTTGGGGATTGGAGGCTGCCAGCAGACCCCAGACACTCCGCCCTGGTCCATGATGTCATCCTCTAAAGCAATTCTGGTGCCTCAGCCTCCCAAGAGGCTGGGATTATAGGTACATGCCACCATGCCCAGCTAAGTTTTATATTTTTAGTAGAGACAGGGTTTCGCCATGTTGGCCAGGCTGGTCTCAAACTCCTGACCTCAAGCGATCCACCCGTCTTGGCTTCCCAAAGTGCTGGGATTACAGGCATGAGGCATTGTACACAGCCTGATAAAAGTAATTTTAAAATAAAGTATATGTGCAAAGAAAGCATTTGGTGTTAGTTTATTTGCTAGCACGTTTTTTTTTTTCTTAAATGTATGTCAATTAAAAATATGTGTCTTACAAAGGATGGAGTCTTGGAGCTGATGAAACACAGTGAAGGAATAACTGAGTATGCACCAAACTATGTTCAATATCTCTACTAATATTCATACTTTCTCTTTTTCAGGACTTCTCCCTTTTATCATTGTTACCTGTAATAATAATTAATAATTTACAATTAATTATAATTTACAATTAATAAAATATTCTATTTGTATATTTAATGATTTGGTAATAAATTCCCATGGTTCAAAAGGTACGAAGGATATACAGGGAAAAGTCTCCCACCCAAGACTGTAGCCAGCCATCCAATTCCTCTCCTGGGGGAGGGCCACCCAGTGTCAAAGTATTCCTCTAGAAATATATATATATATATATTCTACTTATTCCTCTACCTTTTTATAATACTGTAGCATCCACTATACCACTATTGTCTTAATATTTACTGGGTGCTCTTGCTTACATTATATACATTAAAAATTTATATACATCCAGCCAGACTAAGCTTCACAACTGAAGGAAAAATAAAATCTTTTATGAACAAGCAAGTACTCAGAGATTTTATTACCACCAGGCCTGCTTTACAAGAGCTTCTGAAAGAGGCATTACACACAGAAAGAAACAACCAGTATTAGCCTTACTAAAAATATACCAAAAAGTAAAGAGCACCAACATAAAGAAGAATTTTCATCAACGAATGGATCAAACAGCCAGATAACATCAAATGGCAGTAACCCTAAATTTAAATCGACTAAATCCCTCAATCAAAAGACACAGCCAAAACCCAACAGCATGTTACAACCAGACCTGTTTCACATGCAAGGATACACAAAGACTCAAAGGAATGGAGAAAGATTTACCAACCAAATGGAGAGCAAAAATAAACAAACAAACAAATAAATAAATAAATAAAAAGCAGGAGTTGCAATTCTCGTAGCGGATAAAATAGATTTTAAAGCAACGAAGATATAGTGGTAAAAGGATCAATACAACAACAAGAGCTAACTATCCTAACACCCAGATACATAGAGACTTAGATTCAACGAGACAGAAAATTAATAAGGATATCAAGGACTCGAACTCAGATCCGGAACAAGTAAACTTAATAAATATTTATAGAGCTCTCCACTTCAAATACATAAAATATACATTCTTGTCAATGCCACATCACACCTACTCATAGGTTTAAATGAAACTGATTGGCCATTATTAATACCCATTTTTTTTTTTAGAATAAAGCAATATTTCCGTTCACCCTCCCTCTCTCTCTTCCTCTTTCTTTCTCTCCTTTACTCATTTTTTTTTCTTTCCTTCTCTCAAAAAAAGAAATCAACTTGTAAACCTCTAGATTCAGGTCGGCAATGTCTCTCTCATTGCTTGAATTCCTTCCTTCCCTTTCCTCCTTCCCTCCCCCCCGCTTCCTCCCTTCCTTCCTTCATCCCCTCCTTCATCCCCTCCTTCCTCCCTTCCTTCCTCCCTCCCTCCCTCCTTCCCTCCCTTCCTGCCTTCCTCCCTTCCTCCTTCCCTCCCTAAAAAAAAAAAAAAAATTTATATGCAAAATTTGTAGCCACACAATAGTGCCAGCAAGTTGGCAGGCAGGTATGATTACAACTTAACAGATGGTTATACTGAGGCCCAACAAGGTGAAAGTCATTTCCTCAGTGACAGAGCTGGGACTCAGACCTGAGTCTTCTAACCCTATGAGGTGAGCACAGGAATTCGATGTGTGAGTGGACCAGTTTCTTTTAAGTGGCACCATTCTTCCTTGAAATGCCAGTTAGCATTCGAAACTCCTAGGTGCCGGTTGGAGTCTATCAGTAGAGATCCACATGTGGCCTTTCAGGGATCATTAAGTGCTGGTGTAACTGTTTATCACACCTCTAAAGGAGGGACATGGATTCTGCATACAGGCAGTGCAAAAGCACAGAAGTATGGGAAAACCTTGTGAGGGGGAGGGGAATTGGCCTGTACTGCTGGCTTTTCCTGCCCCTGGCTGCTCATATAACCTATTTAGGATTTGCCTTAACCGTTCTGTCATAGAACTTGTTCATCCATGCAGTGTCACAATGGATATAAACAGTTCCCCTGCACAGTGATAATGGAGGTGCTGAGGGGCACACAGCAGAGAGGTAAGCAAAAAGGAACTCTTCTGCAGAGTTTTCTTTCTTTTTGTTCCTTTTCTTTCTTTCTTTCTTTCTTTTTTTTTTTTTTTTTTAGATGGAGTCTCGCTCTGTGTTGCCCAGGCTGGAGTGCAATGGCGTGGTCTTTGCTCACTGCAACCTCCACCTCCCAGGTTCAAGCAGTTCTCCTGCCTCAGCCTCCCGAAGAGCTGGAGTTACAGGCATGTGCCACCACACCCAGCTAATTTTTTGTATTTTTAGTAGACACAGGGTTTCACCATGTTGGCCAGCCTGGTCTTAAACTCCTAACCTCAGGCGACCCACCCGCCTCAGGCCCCCAAAGTGCTGGGATTATAAGTGTGAGCCACTAAGCCCAGCTGATTTCTGTAGCTCTTGCATTTCTTAGCCTGTCCTTGGTCCCCTTGTCTGACCTCAGTTGTTCCCTAAGTTAAATTCTCTTTTGACCACTCCTGATGCTGCTTCCTGAGTGCTTGTAAAATATCATTCATTTTACTTATGAGGAAATGTGTTCAGATATATTAGATACTAATTGAGAATTGGCCAGTGGTATACTGGTAGATGTTTAAAGATCAGCTCTTCGGGAGAAAACATGGCCCTGATTTGTAGCATGTGCTGGCTTTTGTGATGTTAATACTTCCATCTTGGTTGATTAAATTTGAAGTGAAGGAGATAAATGCAGGATGGTTACTGAAATGATTAGCATGTCCAGAGACATATGGTGAAACCAGGAGAGTTTGTGTAGATAGGACGGTGTTTGTCTTAGTTCAGCGAAGGAGGAATGTCATTAGCCAGGTATGAACTTTGTACACATGCCAGGTCCCTGAGGAGTTTCCCTGCCACACAATGCATGATACACTCTTGCTTGTACCTCCTTCCTTCCTTTCAGAACCTGTGGAAACCCAAGGCATTTACTAAGATCTGGAACCTGGGAAGAATAGGGGGTATTGTATTAGGAAACCTTCTCCTATGTGTAACTTTTTTTTTTTTTGAGACAGGGTCTCACTCTGTCGCCCAGGCTGGAGTGCAGTGGCACAATCACAACTCACTGAAGCCTTGACCTTTCAGATTCAAGTGATCCTCCAGCCTCACTGGGCTTTTGTTGTTGTTGTTGAAGTAGAGGTAGGGTTTCACGATGTTACCCAGTCTAGTCTTGAACCTCTGGACTCAAGTGATCCTTCCACCTTGGCTTCCCAAAGCGCTTGGATTACAGGCATGTGCCCAGCCCCATGCAAACTGAAGTTTGAGAGTCACTGCCCAAAATCTTGGGCCCTGAGGCTCATGCCGGACCAGGATCACTTTAAAGGATTATGGCCAGAGTTGGTATCCCATAAAGGGAATCCAGTTGTGGTGTGGTCCCTGATCCCCACTGGTGTAGTGTTTGTTAGACTTTGGCTCACATGCCAAAGTCTCCACATTCAGAGCCCTAGGACTTGCCACATAACCAGTGGTGAGTAGGGTGATTGGTATGGTGGTTGGGGAGGTAAAGTAGAGAGATGGACACTTCCTTGGTGCTAACTGCTTCCATGCATTAATTCATTAGCCTACAGTAAAACCTGGCACCTATCCTCCCAGAACCCTCTCCTGGGCTGTTTTTCTTCCATATCCTGAGCACCTGGGGGCCTGGGGATATCCTCTACCTGATCAGGTGGGAGACCAGGCTTGGGGCTAAGGCAGAGCTACCTGTGACTGACTTCTTATCCTGCTGTCTTCCAGCTCTGTACCTTGAGGAGGTAACTTCATCTCTTTACAATTCAATTTTCTAATGTATAAAATGGAAATGATAATACCTACTTCTCTGGTATCTTTATAGCAGGGAGTAGACTTCCATGACCCACCTTGTTTCTAACCCCCTCCTGAGGCCTAGGAGCCTCCTCCCACCGGGAGAATTCCTTCCAGCTACCAAGATTGGTGTGTAGAGGCAGCATTCCCATGCACAGCAGCTCTGACCCACTATCTCATGTTCTAGGAATTAACCGACTTGCAGAGGGATCCTCCTGCCCAGTGTTCTGCGGGACCGGTAGGTGATGACTGTAAGTATTTTTGGGGGCTTCAGGTTGCAGGAGCATTGTAATTAAGACCCCCAAATTTAAGCCAGGCACGGTGGCTCACACTTGTAATCCCAACTACTCAGGAGGCTAAGGCAGGAGAATCACTTGAACCCACGAGGCAGAGGTTGCAGTGAGCCAAGATCATGCCACTGCACTCCAGCCTGGGCAACAGAGCAAGACTCTGTCTCAAAAAGGAAAAAAAAAAAAAAACACCCAAATTTATCAGCCAAGCAGTGTTTAAGAAAACCAATCAGACGTTTTCCCTTCATTTGCTTTTTCATTTGAGGTCTAGGCCATGAGTTCACAGTAGCTTGACTGGTCAGGTTATACTCAGAGTAGTATCTGCATTGCCTTTCATGTCCCATAGTCACCACTTCCCTCTTCTGGGGCATGAGAAAGCCAGCTTGCCCTGAGGAGTCACATCGGCTGCTGGAAAGTGCCCTTGGCCAAGTCAAACTTGGGTGCTGGTGTAAATATTTTTGGAGTTGCTTTAGAGTGCTGCAGCTCCTGGGAGCAGAGCAGTATGGCCAATGAGGAGCAGAGCAGGATAGGGCAGTGGCCACTTGCCTCTGCCTCTGCCAAAGGGAAGGACAATCCCTATTCTTTTCTTTCACTTCTGCTCTTCCCTGGAGGAGACTAAGAAGCAGCTCTGGACAGTTTCTGGGGAGAGAGAGGGCAAAGCAGGACTGCCTCTGCCAGGCCTCTGCCATCCCTCAGAGGTGTTGGCAGAGGCTGAGCTGCCCAGCATTAGGGTTTCCAGTTCTGTCCTCTGCCCACTCACCCATCTCCACTTTTCGGGCTTCTTGGGCTCTGGGACACATTCCTTCCCTGTGAGGCTTCAGTAACTGCAGCCGTAGGAAAGTAGGCAGGGAGGGGAGATTCTATGTATTCAAGGAGAGTGGTGTCAAAGAATCAAAAACAGACAGATAGAATGTGTGTGCCAATGTTCACAGCACTATTAGTCATGATTTTCAGAAGCTGGTAACAACCCAAGTGCCCATCAGTGGATGATAGATAGACAAAGTATGGTTCTGATACACAGTGCAACATGGATGGGCCTTGAAAACATGCTAAGTGAAATAAGCGGGAAAGAAAAGGATGAATATATGATTCCACTTACAGGAAATATATAGATTAGGCAAGTTCATAGAGACAGATGGTAGATGAGAGATTACCTGAGGCTGACGGGAGGGTAAATGGGAGAAATGTTGCTTCATGCGTACAGAATTTGTTGGGGGTGATGGAAAGTTTTGGGAATGGATGGTGGGACTGGTTCTGCAGCACTGTGAAGGCACATGCCACCGAATTGTACATTTAAAAGTTGTTTAAATTGTGTATTTTATACATTTTTTACTACAAAAATAAATTTAGCAAGCTGGAAAAAAAATGAGGGCATGGTGTGATATGTGTACCTGCATGTTCTGGGAGGGGACCAAGCTTAGAGGAGCAACAGGTAGGCCGATGGAGCCACTGAAAATGGAGGACTCTAAAGGCTTTACGTGGGAGTTTAAATCTCGTTTTTGGAGCAGAACAGAAATGTTTCCCAGCTGCCTGTGCAGAGTGTAGGAAACAAGAACAATTCTGCTCCACTGTCCCCCGATACCTGCTCATCACTCTGCTCCCCACTAATCAGTGTTTACCTCATATTGTTCTCACAAGCACCCCAGGTCTCCATAGCATGCTTCCGCTCTTACGGGTCACTTAAGATCATATCAAATTAAACTGGGGTCGTTGTAAGCTTGAACTAGTTCTTGTTCCGCCTTAGCTGTCTGGAGGCTGCTCCTTGGTGCTCAGCTCAGCTCACATTTACCTTCACCATAGCCCAGGACTACGAGAGGCTAGCATCGGCCACCCACCACAGTCAGACCTCAATGGGTGAGGTTTAGAAGGCATTGGAAGCTAGCCTTTGGGGCCATTTCACACTGCCTTATGGGCACACAGCTGCTTCCAGCATCCCTCCTCTGTTTCCTTTCTCGTCCTCTCACTTTTGGGGCTTCTCTTCTGACTCCGCCCTCAAGCCCTGCTTAGTGTCCCAGCAGCCCTCAGGGTTAAATTGAACAAGACCAGAGGATTCCACCCTTGTGTTCTGAAATATATTAATTATCAAAAACACCTTTATTTAATAAAGAATTTCATTCACATTAATATTAGGCAAACATATCTACTGCCAACTAATGATTAACATTAATTGGAATAAAAACAGTCAAAAGCAAAAAAAAAAGTGATATTTTCATTAACTCAGGCAGCCTTATTACAGGTAAAGGTATTCTTTTCAGCACCATTTCTCTGAAATATTGAAAAGGGCTCATGGGCCACCTTGACTACTTTTGGACACCTCTAGGGGCTTGGGAAACTTATGCTCTTGTGCCTGCGCTAATGCTCTCACCCCAAACCTTGGTGCTTTCCTGGACCTCCTATTGGGTAGAGCCTGTGGGGTATTTAAACAAGTGACAGTGAACCCAGGACAGGACCAGGTCTGAAACTTTGGGCTAATTCCATACGCACTATGAGCCCATATGAGACAGAATTCTGTTGCAAATAACAGGCCCTTCAGATGGTCTCAGCAACCCAACTGGATGATGGCATTTTCCACAAAGGCCCTTGAGTCAATATCCCTGGGACCATTTGTATGACTTGGGAGCCTTGGTTGTGGGTGTTTGGGCCACACTAGGCTAGCCTTGCTGATACACGGGAGCTGTTCTGAGAATGGGTAGAGTAGTAAAAATCACCTGAGACGCTGGGGAGGGTATAGGATGTGATATGCAGCAAGAGGAGGTTCTAAACCCCCACCAAAGGGTGGTGACCTGGAAAGGAAGCACGAGAGGGGCTCATTACTGAGTGCCTAGAGCATAGGGCACTGCCCAGGGGCTGGCCAGGAGAGGACTCAGATGGAGGCAGCACCAATGAGGCTCCAGGGCCATGGGCGGTTGGCTCTTGAGAGAGACTCTTTGGAGAGGGCTTCAGAATGAATCGGTGGAAACCAAGGAATAGAGGGGTTTATAAAGAGCAATAAGGAAAATGGCTGAAGCCTAGCTAAGGCTTAATTCTGTGCAAAGAACTGACTGAATTGTAGTTATTGGCACTTGTGTAGTAAAGAACTTAATCTTAGCCGAGCACAATGTCTCACGCCTATAATCCTAGCACTTTGAAAGGCTGAGGCTAGCAGATTGCTTGAGCCCAGCCTGGTCAGCATGGTGAAACCCTGTCTCTTCAAAACAACAACAACAACAACAAAATTTAATCTTGTCCCCAAAAGATCTGGCCTTCATTCCTAACACTTAGGGGGCAATCTCTAAGATATCATACCTGCTAGGAGTGTCTTTGTTTGGCTGGAAGCTTTGATGCACACCAACAATGTGATTTCGGGTGAGGACTGGCCACACCAAGTAGACCACTTATGTGGTTTAAGGTGAGAGCCTAGCCTGGGCAACACAGCAAGACCCCGTCTCTACAAAAATGAAAAAATAAAAGTAAAAAAATTAGCCAGATGTGGTGGCATACACCTGTTGTCCCAGCTCCTGGGAGGTTGAGGCAGAAGGATAGCTTGAGCCTCAGAGTTTGAGGCTACAGTGAGCTTAAATGATGACGCTGCCCATCAGCCTGGGTGGCCGACCATCTCAAAAAAATAAAATAAGGTGGGGGCTTGGATCATGCCTGGAGGAGCTGGAGACCGGAGCCTGAGATCAGCTCTGTGGGCACTCAGATCAGTCAATCATGCTCTCAGGAGCCCCAGTAAGAATTCTGAATACGGAGGCTCCAGGGAGCATCTCTGATTGGGAGTGCTCTGTGTGTGTTGCTGTACAGCAACGCCAGGAGAGTAACATATCCCGACTCCATGGAGAAAGAAGAATGGAACCTCTGTGTTTGGACGCTCTTGATGTTAACCTATGCTGTTTCCCTGTGATAACCGGCCGTCATGAGCACAACCACTTTTAGTGAGCTCTAGGATTCCTAGGCAGTTATCGCATCTTGGGTGGTTTGGGGAACCCCAATTTGTAGTTGGTGTCAGAAGTGAGGGCATCTTGTGTGGACAGTACCCTGTAATTTAGCAGTGCATTTTCAGTAGGTAGACATGTTTTTTGGGGGATCTCTTACATGCCCGTCTCTCTTTTGTCTTGCAGTGTTCCACTGGCAGGCCACCATCATGGGCCCGGTAGGTAGTAGCTGCTGAGCACACTGCTACAGTTTTGCTTCTTGCACTTCGGGCTTAGCACATGCACTTATCTCTTTCTGTGTCTCATCCTTCCAGAATGACAGTCCTTACCAAGGAGGTGTTTTCTTCCTGACCATCCACTTTCCTACGGATTACCCATTCAAGCCCCCAAAGGTGAGGTCCCCCTCACAACTTCCCTGATGTTTGGATGAAGGACAGCATGTGATGAGGGGCCCTTCAAATCGGGTATAGGTAAAAAGAGCTGTATGTGGGGCTTCTCTTTGGGCCCACCGCTCTACGCTGTGGTGACAGCCTCCCAGGACTTTAACCACTGGACTTTGGGAATTACACCTGTTGTGACCAAGGGTCAGTGGGGTGAGCTGGTGCTGGCCTCCTTACTGAGACCACAGTTTGAGTGCTGCTCCTGGTGGCTGTAGCTGAGTCTGGTCATGTCTCCAGGCTCTGGCTCCCTTCTCTGCAGTCCTTTACTTAGAGTTAGGACAGGGTTTCTCAGCTGGGGTGATTTTGCTACTGCCCCAGGGATATTTGGGTAACATCTTGGGATATTTTGGGTTGTCAAAACTGTGATGGGGGGTACTACTGGCATCTAGTGGGCAAAGGCGAGGGTGTTCCAGGGATTCCCTATAGTGCACAGGACAGCCTCCCTTCCCATGAAACAGAATGATCAGCCCCAAGTGTCAATAGTGCCAAGGTGGACACACCCTGGTTTAGGACTGGTGAGTTACACCTTCACTTTCCTTTATTAAGTTAAAAGAATAGAGCAAGCCTCCTTTGCTCTGCATGCACACACCATCCCATCATTGGAGCTTTAGAGAGCAGTGCCACCAAAGGGAAGGAGAAGCCCAGGGAGGTGCCTTGACCACCCTGCTGTAGCCCGTCTTGTGCACTGCAGGTTGTCTTGCTTCCTGGTCCCTTGCGCCTCATACTTCTCACCTGGGCCCTGCATGGGTGGCCAAGCCTGCCAGGAGGCTCACAGTCCTGTGGAGGAGATAGGGTGTTTAGCACATGAGCCAGTGGGCACTGGGGAGGAGCACCAGCAGGGGTTGGAAGCAGGAGCCGGGGGGGTGCGGGGAGATCACCCTGAGGAGGGGCACTGCAGAAGCTAAGCAAGGGGGCAGACTGGTCTCCAGGAAACTGCCCCAGGGGAGTGAGACTGTGAGGAGTTGGGAAGGATGGCCGCAGGAGTGGGGTCTGCATGCCCTGTGTGGGGATTGCCACACTGACGGGATCACTCTGCTGCCTTGTGGAGAAGAGGGTGGGTAGGGATCCCAGCCAGGCAAGGCTCTGTGGTGAGGCATGGCTGGTGGCATGGAGGTGGGGAGAAGAGGTGAATTTAGGAGTGTTAGGTGGAGCTGGCAAGGACAGGCTGCAGTCAGGTGTGACCACACAACAGGGTGTGTGTGATTCACATCATTTTTAACATCTGTTTTTTTCTGATTGCAAAACTGGTGAAAGTTCATTATTATCAGAGAACTAAATTCGCCAATGGTAGCCATGGCCTGCCGCAGACCCAGAAAGGAAAGACCCAGCTGGTGTCCTGGTGTCCAGTCTTCCAGGGTGTTTCCTGCATATACTAGCATATATTTTTATTCTCATTTTAAAAATAAAGACATCAATTCTCTTTTGTGAGTGAGGAAACTGAGGCTTAGAGAAGTTGTATCATTTCCTGAGATGACATGGCCCATAATGGAGGGTGATGTGGCAGCCTTTTAAAAAAACTTTTTATTTTGAATTAATTTTAAACTTAGAAAAAAATTGCAAAAACAGTACAAAGAGTTTTTATGTATTTCTTATCCAGCTTTCCCTGATGTCACCGCCTTACATTACTATATAGCACAATGATCAAAACCAGGGAATTAATGTTGGTCACGACACTACACACTGAAGACCATACTCAATTTTTACCAATTTCTATCAAGTCCTCTTTGTGTTCCAGAACCCAGCTCTCATTTATTGCCATGTCTTCTTAATCATCTCACTCTGTAATGGTACCTCAGTTCTTCCTGGTCTTTCGTGATCATGATGCTTTTGAGGAGTATCAACCAATTATGTTGTCGAATGTCCCTCATTTTGTGTTCGTGTGATGTTTCTCGGGATTGGACTGAGGTTGTGCATTTTGGTTTTTGGTTTTGTCTTTGTTTTTGCTTTTTGAGATGGAGTCTCACTGTATCACCTAGGCTGGAATGCAATGACGTGATCTCGGCTCACTGCAACCTCTGCCTCCCGGGTTCAAGCCATTCTCCCACCTCAGCCTCCTGAGTAGCTAGGACTACAGGCACTTGCCACCACACCTGGCTAATTTTTGTATTATTTTTAGTAGAGATGGGGTTTCACCATGTTGGCCAGGCTGGTCTCGAACTCCTGGCCACAGGTGATCCACCTGACTTGGCCTCCCAAAGTGCTGGGATTACAGGCATGAGCCACTGCGCCTGGCCAGGTTGTGCATTTTGGCAAGACTTACTCCAAAGTCCTCTACCTACATCAGACACCATAGCCAAGGGGTTGTGATGTCGCTAATGCCTTACTACCTTGACTTGGCCTTGATGGCTCAATTTGAGTCAGAGGCTTAGCTGTTGTTTTGCATATTGCTTATTTGAGTCAGTGTGAAGAAGCCATTTCTGCACCACCAGCTGTAGCTCTGTCCAGACAGCACCACCAGAGGCTACCTGGTGCCTGAGCATTTTAAATCTTGGTTAAACGTGTGTAGGATCCCAAAGACCTTTTAAGGTTTTGGCAAGGGAGTCGGGGGTGCAGAGTAGGGCAATGACAGATGCTAAAATAGCTTCACTGCATTGGAGTACAACTGCTGTTCAAGGGGGTTTGGGTGAAAAAGTATAAACATGATTCACAGTGCTCTGACCCACCTCCTGTTCCTTCACCTGTGGAGAGACTGTGGCAGTGTCTTATTAAGTAGTAATTTTCCAGCTTACCTCTTTCATTACCATGTAAGCAGCTGAGGATTTTTCTTAAACAGATACTGATGTAGTTCTGAATGTCTGTTGGGTGTTTTCAGGATACCTAATTGCCCAAGGACAAAGGAGAAACAGCGGTTATTATTAAAAGACTAAGGTGGCTGGGCGCAGTGGCTCATGCCTGTAATCCCAGAACTTTGGGAGGCCGAGGCGGATGGAACACCTGAGGTCGGGAGTTCAAGACCAGCCTTTTCAACATGGCAAAAACTTGTCTCTTCTAAAAAAAAAAAAAAAAAATTAGCCAGGTGTGGTGGCAGGCAGCTACTCTGGAGGCTGAGGCAGGAGAATCAGTTGAACCTGGGAAGTGGAGGTTGCAGTGTGCTGAGATCGCGCCACTGCACTCAAGCCTAGGCAATGAGACCGAAACTCTGTCTCAAAAAAAAAAAAAAAAAAATACTAAGTAAGCTCTGTGGGTGAGTTGGGATTATTTTAACAAGGAGAGATGTGAGGTGAAAGGTAACAGTGACACTCTATGAGAAAGAAAGTGCTTCTGTCTTTTAAAAATCTCCTTCCATAGGGGAATAGGAGCAATTGAACTTATGTTTTGGCACAATTTTTCTGAAAATAGGAGAAATCTGGCAAGATTGTATGATCTTTATTGGAGATATTGAGGCAGATAATGTCTGAGACCCTTTTGAAGTTTGACCCTTCCTGGGAAAAATTATATGGTAATAGATATTCGAGTTCACATGCACACAACTCTTTTGTCATATTCTAAAGTAAGTTTAAAAAACAACTGTTAAAAACTATATCAAGCATGCAAAAAATTATAGATAATGATATAAAGGATGTTTGTGCATCCTCCGTCTAGCCTAAAAAGTACCTGTGAGGCTGGGCGTGGTAGCTCACGCCTGTAATCCCAGCACTTTGGGAGGCCGAGGCAGCAGGATCAGGGTCAGGAGTTCAAGACCATCCTGGCCAACATAGTGAAACCCCATCTCTATTTAAAAAAAAAAAAAAAAGTACCAGTGAGTTCTCAGAGCTAGCAGAGGAGGTAAAATCCTTATGTTGCTTTGTCCCAGCCCCTGCAGTGGTGTCACTGCTTGCCCACTGGGGGTGTAGATGAGGCAAATTCTTAGGCTCCTGTGGCAGTGGAAGCTGCACCTGACTCAGAGCACCTTGCACATTAGAGAGAGCAGACTGTCCGTGGGTCTCACAACACCTCTGGGAGAGGCACCACGAACCTAGTTACAGTGAAGGCTCTGAGGTCTCAGGAGGTCATTTGAAGAAGTAATGTGCGGCTGTGGTTTAAAAAAAAAAAATCAAATGTAGGAGAGTATAGAGTGAAAATAGAACCTTTTTCAAATTGTGTCTCTCTAGCCACGGCCCCCCACTTTCCTTCCACAAGGCACTGAGGAAAAGACAGTACTTGTCTTTTCATTTCTCTTCTAGGAGCAATCTGCACCTGGGTAAGCACTTGTTTGTGCTCCCTTGTTTCTCCCATGAATGGAACAGACCTTTCCATGAATCTGCATCTTGCTTTTCCCACAGCAATACATCTTGGAGACTGTTCCATATGATCCCATTCATGTTGTAAAAATTCACCTCATTCTTTTTCAACAGTTGTGTAATATTCTGTTGCTTATATATATCATTAATTTAACCAGTCATCAATCTGAAGACATACAGGTTTCAAAACTTCTGTTACAGTGGGTATCCTTACATATTTGAAATGCACAAGGGTATTTTAGAGCTCAATTCTGAGAAGAGGAGGGTCTTATAAAGGGTGAAATAGAAAGTTGGGGAGGGTTTGTGGCCTGGCAGAGGGTTCACAGCCAGGGATTTTCTCCTGATGATGTGTCCTATGTCAACAAAACATCACTGCTTTTTGCATAAAAATTCTGGGCTTTTGAGTCCTTTCCACCATCCTTGTTCCACCCTCAGAGCATACTGCTTCCTCAGAGATGGTATCAATCCCTTACGTTCAGAATGATAATCCAGGAGGGAATGGGTCAAGGAACTTCTGGGTGATCACTCACTTTCATATCTCATTAGAGTTTGGGAGTGGGGGTCTGGCTCAGCCTGCACTGTGGGGCCAGGTAATGCAGCACACTCCAGGTACATCCCAGCAGCAGCTGCTTCCGCTTTATGTGGTTTATTTCTCAGATGTCTCTGTGTTTGTCTGATTTGGGATCTCTTGTCTTTGCAGGTCGCTTTCACAACCAAAATTTATCACCCTAATATCAACAGCAATGGCAGCATCTGCCTCGATATCCTGCGGTCTCAGTGGTCTCCAGCGTTGACTGTGTCAAAAGGTAGAGATGCTGATGGCACGCTGTGTGTGCCTGTCTCTTACACATGTTTTACCCCAGCACTGTCTGAGTGGAAATAGAGGCTCGGAGAGAGCAGGCACTTTCCCAGGCCACACAGCCCTGTCCACTGCTGTGCCCATAAGTGGATATCCTTGCACCTCCAGGAGGCAGCACCAGCAGAACCTTGTGCCCCTCACCAGCGGTCGATTGCCAAGGGGTGCTCAAGACTGTCACATGGGTGCAAAAAGAAAATACTGATTCTACTTGGATTTTTTTATCTAAAAATAAGAAAGGCAAACATTACATTACCTTCTCTGTTCCCTCATTTATTCATCCAATAAGCACAACACGGACTGTGAGTCAGCCCTGAAGGAAGAGATACAGGGCATGCTCCTGGGGCCTTGAAGTTGGCGGAGAAATCCTCCCTTCCCAAAATACATGATGTTGAGCATAATAAACCATGTCTGTGGTTGAAGTTGAAGAAACCAGTCTAAACTGAGCTTAGAAATGCGGATATTCCTTCTAAACTAAGATGGGCTGAGCATGGGCTGTGTGTGCGCAGGAGACCTGAATGCGGACGGTGCAGTATCCTGCCAGGTGGAGCGTGGGTAGGATGGTGAAAAATCAACCCCACACAAAAAACAGAGCCCAGCCTAATTTTTAAACTTTTCTGCAGAGATAGGGTCTTTGCTGCCCAGGCCAGTCTCAAACTTCTAGCCTCAAGCAATCCTCCCACCTTGGCCTCCCAAAGCACTGGGATTATAGTTGTGAGCCGCTGTGCCCAGCCAAGTATCTTCAGAAAGGCAAGCCTGCCCCCAGCCAAGTATCTTCAGAAAGGCAAGCCTGCCCCCAGCCAAGTATCTTCAGAAAGGCAAGCCTGCCCCTGTCATTTGTAGCTTTACATCTGGGGAACTGTAGTCAGGACTTTGATGGACTTGCTGACTCCAGTTTGTTTGGAATCATATGGTGAATTGAAAGCAAAGCCAGGAATGAGGGTCCACATTTCCGTCTGGGACCCCAAGAATCCAGGCACCACAGTTCTGCTCCCCACCATAGCCCTAGTGGGTGATTCCCTTCCCCCAGGGTTACTGAGAGCCACAATGAGTGCATGTCCTAGAGATGGTGCTGGCATGTAGGAGGATGCATCTGCTTTGCAGTTAGACAGACCTTGTTCAGAATCTCATTTTTGCCCATTTATTGAGTGTTCCAAGTCTGTGACCTTGGACAAGTTACTTGAATGCTCTGAATTCTTGTTTCCTTACCAATAAATAGGACTCTTGGGACTAAACACCAGAGATGCATGATGTGGGGTGCCAACAAAGATGGGAGGGCAGTTGGAGACTAAGATGGGGTGCTTCAGTGGAGAAGGGGAATGACAGCCAGGATGCACCCAGGAGGGAAGTGTCCTAGCACAGCATGTCTGAGGCCACGCAGTGGACTGTCTCGTCTGATACATGGGACAGAGCAAGTAGTGCATCAGCAATTTAGATTGGGCTGTTGAAGGGAAGACAACTGCTTGGTCAATATAGAATGTGAGTTCAGAGAGGTTCACCCTGGGGTGACCTAGCCACCTCGTGGCTGCAGCTAACCAACCTTTCCTTTTCTTCCCAGTTCTCTTGTCCATCTGCTCACTGCTCTGCGACCCCAACCCCGATGACCCTCTGGTACCAGAGGTAGCTCACACCTACAAGGCCGACAGAGAGAAGTACGCGTCCTCTTTGGGTTGCCTTTGCACCATGGCTGCCCCAGGCAGCTCCATGCAGTACCTGTGCTCTGAGCTGGTGCTTCTGGGCTGCAGGTTCCCACGGACATCTTCCTGCCCATGCTGAGCCTTGGGCTTGGACTCCTGGCTCTCTCACTAACATGTCCTTTGAGTCTAAGGAGGGAGAAGGAGATAAAAGCAGTTCATCCTCCTGGATAGCTCATTAGCTGCTGCTACTATTTGTGAAACCATTGCCAAGCCCTGCCCTTGAGGCCAGCAAAATCAGTGGTCAGCCAAGAATGGACTCAGAAGAATCTGACAAGAAAATTCTGATTTTAATTCTAAGGTTTATAGCCTAAGACAAGGGGATGTCTGCTTGGCTCTACCCAAGGTGAGGCTGAGGGCAGTCAAGGTGGGAAACACTGCTGTGGTCATTTCGCTGGCTCAGGCTCAGAGGTCAGCAGTGTGTTGCCGTTTCACCAGCAGAACCCCACTGCCAGCTCTCTGTTTAAACAGCAGTTAACAAACCCAGAATTGTAAAATTCTGATTCCCCATAGTCCAGGCACAACCACATGCACTGTAGCATGAGGATGTCGGTAGTTGGTGGGGCAAGCACAAGGAGTCATCGCTGTGTGTCAGTCTCTGAGTGCTGACAGCACTGTGAGAAAGGGCCAGATGTGGCAGGAGCCACAGCCCCATAAGTGGTGGGAATCTCAGTTGTGGGCCTCCGAGGAAGGCATCGCTGGCCCTTTTAAAAGGCATCTTCAGTGAGTGAGTTCTTCGGCTCATTACTCATTACTTCTTTTCTGTTTGAAGTGATTAGAATGGAGTATGTTTTTTCCCTTCCTTTTTTTTTTTTTGAGGCAAGGTCTCATTCTGTTGCCCAGGCTGGAGTGCAGTGGTGCGATCATGGCTTACTGCAGCTGCCACCTTCTGGGCTCAGCCTCCTGAGAGGCTGGGACTATAGGCATGTGCCACCACACCTGGCTAATTTTTTGTAGAGACAGGGTTTTGCTATGTTGCCCAGGCTGGTCTTGAACTCCTGGGCTCAAGCAGTCTGCCCACTTAGGCCTCCCAAAGTGCTGCAATTATAGCCACTGCACTCACTCAGCCACGTGGTTTTTTCAAATGATATTTTTCTTTTCTTTTTCTTTTTTTTTTTTTGAGACGGAGTTTCGCTCTTGTTACCCAGGCTGGAGTGCAATGGCGCAATCTCGGCTCACCGCAACCTCCGCCTCCTGGGCTCAGGCAATTCTCCTGCCTCAGCCTCCTGCAAATTATATTTTTCTTAAGACCTTTATAGATCTTATTATTTCCCTCACTGGAGTTTCTTCAATAACATTCAACATTTTTAATTGACTGAGGTTTAACTTATATTTGTTTATTTTAACCCTTATTATAAGATATTTTAGACATACCAAAGTGATTTTTTTTAGTGCCTCTTGTAACTATAAATCTCTCTAATTTATAGTCTTAATGGCATCAAATCTCATTACAATGATGAGAGTAAGTGCACATACCTGCATAGCCCTCAGTGGATGCCCGGCCTGCTCCACATGCTTTACATACAGGCTTATCTAGTCTTCCCCACAAGCACACAAAGCAGATACTCTCCCCATGGCAAGAAATCAAAAAATCCAGCACACAGAGGGGCAGAACAGCTGCTGAGGGTGGTGCTGATTCACACTCCGCTGGGCAGGTTCCCTAGCGCTTGTTCTGGAGTTTGTGTGCTGGACGGCCTGTAACTGGTACAAACTGACCTTTGTGTGTCTCTTCTCTGTCCTCCCTGCATCCATATTGTAGGACAGGAGAGAGAAAGGGAGGAAGTCTGTTGTATTATTAAATCTTCCACAGCAGATAGTTATGGAGAATCAACAGTTTGGGGTTTGCACATGAGGGGTTCACCAAGTTGGGGGTTACAGCCATGTCTGATAGGCTCCTGGTCCAGGAAAAGCCTTTATTCCACTCACCCATCAGCCCTAGATGTTTGACAAGCAGCAGCAGCAGCAGCAGCAGCAGCAGCATTCCCCATATCAGTCCTGTTCTCTGCACCATAGTGAAGGGAAGTGACCATTTCAAGTGAGATTGTCACTCCCTCTGCTTTTTTTTTCCAGGTACAACAGACTAGCAAGAGAGTGGACACAAAAATATGCTATGTAAGTGCCTCGGAGATTTTACAGGAGACGTTGTCCCAGAGAAGCTAGCAGAGAGGTCTTCCCTTAAAACTTTGGGCTGTTGGCTGAGCCATTCAGAGTATCATCTGTTCTTCAAACAAAATGTTGGTCTCCACTCTCTCCAGCTGCAGCATGTTGGTGCCATTCTCAGCGGTTATGGCTTTGACGGTGCCACCTCTTTGCTGCCAAATCAGCAGCCATTGTTGTTATGATCTGCAGCCTTCCTGGTTACACTGGAATATCTCTCTCTCTGCCACCCCAGTTTATCTGCTGGTCTCTTGGGGGGCCAGACCCTGCACGTCTCTCCTACCTGGCCTCAAATGGTGCTGCTGCCCATGATGGTACCATACCAGGGCCTCAGCCTGGCCCCTTACCACATACCCTTTGCCTTTTAGAACTCAGTGCCATCCTGGGTGCCCAAGGCAGAGCAGGCTTTCCTCACACCCGTCCGCTGCAGAACCTCAGGAGTCTCCGCTCATCCTGGAGGGAATTGGGAACAGCGTCACTGGGAAGTGAAGGTCTAGCCCTGAGGCTTCCATCAGTCTCCTGCAGTTCCACGTGCTGGCATTTCTTCCCTCACACCAAGAAGCAGCAAGTGGAAAATTTCAGGATACAAAGCACATAACATCCCCTAAGAGATGACTATGTTTTTAGAAGCAAGAGCAAAATTATGAAACCTCTAGAGATTTGGGTTATGTTACTCCATTTGATGAGGATTCTCACTACCCCCTGCTCCTCCCACTACACTAAGTCCAAGGTGAGCCATTCACAGACAGAACACAAGGAGGGAGAGAGACTCTGAAATGTAAATAAAAATTCACTCATAATTCTAAATGATAATGGACATTTCAGTCTCTTTTTCTTCTAGGTAGAACAGAAGATACACACTTTAACAGTTATTCGGAGGCTTAAATTACAATCGCCTGTTGGGTGACTGGCTTTCTGTCTTAGCTTTCTGATGCAGCACAGAAAATTTTAAGATTTGCCTTTAAAGCTGTGAGCCTTGAGATTAGGTTAGCTAGGAAGAGGACAGAAAAGGGAGGGGATTATTCTACTAAAACTTCCAAAGAGGGAAGAAAATTGAGGAGCTTCAGATCTCCAAAGCCGAATTCAACCTGATTTTTCTAGGTTGCTTATAAAGCTGGTCTACCCCCCCAGGAAATGATGCTTGAATAAGAACAAGAGGTGAAGAAGCAGTAAAACTGTGACCAAATGTCCAGTTGAGGCCTTTGCAGGCTGATTGAAGGAAGTCTACAGACCTAACACCTGCAGTCAGCCAAAGATGGCTATGGGAGGTTGATTTCTCCCAGAAACTTCCAAGTTGTGGCTACAACTTAATTGCCAGATACTATCTCACTGAGGATACTGAGGTTATTGACATAATCACTTTCTTAGCAAAGGAAGAAGCACTTTGAACTTGGGCAGCATTCCCTTTGGGAGGGTCCATGTTTAGGATCCTCCTGTTACTATAAGGCCACTTTTGGGGTCCTATGGGTGTGGATCCATCTCACCAGAAAGGATTGCCTTTTTTTTTGGAGACAGAGTCTTTCTCTGTCTCCCAGGCTGGAGTGTAGTGGTGCGATCTTGGCTCACTGCTCCGCCTCCTGGGTTCAAGCAATTCTTTTGCCTCAGCATTCCGAGTAGCTGGAATTACAGGTGTGTGCCACCATGCTGGGCTAATTTTTGTATTTTTAGTGGAGACGGGGTTTCACCATGTTGGCCAGGCTGAATGAAGCTGAGATTTTGATCCACTATCAGAATCCAGAAAGATCCAGGAGTTCCAAGAACATGGCAATGAGTCAAAATCTTAGGATTAAGGGATTAAAATGTCAGTGCAAATTTCCAACCGACCAGGTAGCTAATAGCTGAGCAGTATATCAGCATGTTAGAATTCCACACTGCCTCACTGCAGCTGCTCAAGGATGGGTAGGTTTCTGTCTCTGAAATTCAGGAAAAAGCCTTAAGTGCCAGAGAAGGTGCTTCCAAGACTGCAGAATTCCCTTGATAGGGTTTGTCCCTGGTACCCAAAAGTGTAGAGAAGGGACCCTAAGATTAGCATAGAACCACTCATCTCTCCTCCCTTCCCCACCCCTTCTTCCCATGCTTCCATTCCCCATGGCTATCTCTTCGGACTGTGACACACACTTCCTCTCCAGCAGTGTCAGGAAAGGTCTGGATCTGTATTGAATCTAGCCATTATGGAGACTGTGGCTGCCAGCACCTGCAAGACAGCACCCTCATGCCATGCAGGCAGCAAGCCCATCCTGAGTAGCAGTCCTCCTAGAGGCTGCTCCCTCTTCACTGGTGAGAGGAAAAGGGACTTGTTCTCCCTTGACCTGTTTTCTGGTTTTCCTGTTCCCACCCTGGTCTTTGCCTGGTGACAGAGAAACTTTCTAAAAAACAAAAACAAAAAGCCATAAAAAAAAAAAAAAATCTGCATGCCAAGCGCAGTGGCTCAGGCCTGTAATCCTAGCAATTTGGGAGGCCAAGGTGGGTGGATCACCTGAGGTCAGGAATTCAAGACCAGCCTGGCCAACATGGTGAAACCCCATCTTAAAAAAAAAAAAAAAAATCTGGAATCCACATCAGAAGTCAATGATTTCTTTAAAAATACATCTACTGGGCTGGGCGTGGTGGCTCCCACCTGTAATCCAAGCACTTTGGAGGCTAAGGCGGGCGGATCACCTGAGGTTGGGAGTTCAAGACTAGCCTGACCAACATGGTGAAATCCCGTCTTAAATAAATAAATAAAAAATACATCTACTTCCTTCCCGTCCTCATCTTCTCCCATCCCCCCAGACAGGTGTGTTTGCTGGTATCCAGCTACCTGTATCAGATCTCCTCTGGAAGGCAGGTGCTCAGCTGGGCTCCATGTTGGAGGGCAACAGCAGAGCCACTTGTAGCTGGCCTCTCACCCTGCTGCCCCCCAGCCCACCCACAATGGCTCAAAGGGCTGGTCTTCTGAGAAAGACTTGCAGCTAGCCTATTATCACAATCACTTTCCAGTTGTGTTAAGTGGTATCAAAGCATTGAGCAAGATGTGGTAGGAGGAAAAGAGAATTATAGAAAGAAAGCCTGCAAAAGTATAAAAGTCACTGATAGACTAGATACACAAATGAGAAAGAAATCAAGCGTTATCATCACGGAAAACCACCAAATCACAAAAGAGAAGAAAGGGACCAGGCATGGTGACTCATCCCTGTAATCTCCCACTTTGGAAGGCTGAGGTGAGAGAATTGCTTAAGGTCAAGAGTTTGAGACTAGCCAAGGCAATATAGTGAGACTCTGTCTCTTACTAAAAAAAGGAAAAGAAAAAAAATAGAAAGCAAATTTAAAAAGAAAAAAAAATTCAAGAGGAAAAAAGAAACAAATGACATACAAAACAATCAGAAACCAATTGACAAAATGATAGGAATAAGTTCTTACTCATCAATAACAACCTTGGATGTAAAGAGTTTAAACTTCTCAATTAAAATATATAGCCTTGCTTAGCCAGGCATGGTGGCACATGCCTGTAATCTCAGCTACTCACGAGGCTGAGGCAGGAGAATCACTTGAACCCTTGAGGTGGAGGTTTCAGTGAGCCAAGATTGTGCCACTGCACTTCAGCCTGGGCAACAGAGCAAGACTCTGTCTCCAAAAAAATACAATTAAATAAATAAATATATATACACACACGCACATACACACAGGTCACATCCTCTCCTCTTTAAAATCTATCAGGGATTCCATTACACCTAGAATAAAACCCAGAGGCTTTCCCTTGGCCTCTCCTTCTCCGTGTCCCATTTCTCAGACCAATTAGGCTGGCTCCTACCTGAAAACCCAGTCTCTGCTCCCGGGTGAGTTACTTCCTCTGAGGCTTTCCCTGGCCCATCAAGCTGAAACAGTTTTCCATACACTACAAGAGGAAGCAGAATCCTGATTCCTTAACCTTCTCGCCACCAGAGACGACTCCTCTTAGTCTTCTTTACATGAAGCCTGGTCACCTCACTGAGCTGATCTGATTCCAGAACACAGAGATCTGCTTCTTTGGCCTGTACAACCTGGTTTCAGGTAAGGGTATCTTCTCCTCAGGTTGACTAACATTTGAAAAGTGCTCCCAGACCTCTCAGGGCTTCCACCTGGGACTGGCAGCCAAGTGGGTCAAGGAACCTGACAATAGGAAGGTGATTAAATAGTAGTATCCCCAGAGGAAGAAGAGAAAAAAAGACATGCAAAGAGAAGAAAGTAGAAGAACCATAAGACTGATGGCCAAACTCCTTTAGAATATGGAGATTGGGGGCAGAGGGACTAGGAGCCAGAAAGTCACCTGAGGGCCTGGTCTGAAGGAAAAATAAGCAGAGATGTTACTGAAGTAAGGGGGGAGAAGATTGGAAATTAGGAGACCTGGAGAGCCCCTATTTATGCAAATTCACTTTTTCTGATGTAAACAGTAGTGAAGTCAAAGTAGAGAAGCAGGGAGACCTGCACTGTGGAAAAGAGAAAAGACTGAAAAGAAGATCCAGGATGAATTCAAGGAGGGGCGAAGGCTGCAGAATGGACTCCGGAAGAGAAGGGATATTTTGCCAGAACCTGAGACTTCTCTAGGCTGGGATGAAGTTATTGTTCTCTCAGAAATGTCAGAGCTTCTGCCTGTAAGAAAAGGGCTATGGTTCGAATGTGTCCACCAAAGTTCATGTCTTAGAGACTTATCTCCAATGTGATGGTGTTGAGTGGCAGGAGGTGGGAGGTGATTAGGCCCTCGTGAATGGATTGATGCCGTTATCTTAGGAGTGGGTTTGTTACCCATGGAGTGTGTCCAGGTTCTTGGTGTCCTGAAGAAAGAATTGAACAAAATGCACAAACATAGCGAGGAAAGAATGAAGTAACAAAAGCAGAGATTTATTGAAAATGAAGGTACACTCTACAGGGTGGGAGTGGCCTGAGCAAGTGGCTCAAGAGCCTGGTTACAGAATTTTCTGGGGTTTAAGTATCTTGTAGAGGTTTCCCATTGGTTACTTAGTGTACACCCTATGTAAATAAAGTAGTGGCTCACAATCAGTCTGATTGGTTGAGAGTGGGGACATCAGATGCTGAAGTGAAGTTAGAAAGTTACACCCTGCGCAAACTTCTGATTGATTGTGGAAAGGCTGAAGTGAAGTTACAAAGTTATACTACTATGCAAACGAAGACTTGGCCTATGACCAGCATAACTGGTTGTGGGAGGAGACCAATTAAAGGTACTTTCAATTTTTCATCTGCCATGCAGAAAAAGGTGGGGGCAGTCACAGAAGAAGTAGCCTCTAGTCCTTTTGTTACTTAGTCCTTAAGTTGGGGTTTTCCTTTTAATTTGGTTTTAGGTTAGTGTAAATCAGCGTTAGGTTCCCTGCTTCCAGCCCCTATTCTCCTGTTTATTATAAAAGAATGAGTTTGGCCCCTTTTTGTCTCTGTCTCATCCTCTTTGCCCTTTCACCACATTATGATGCAGCAAGAAGCCCCTCACCAGATACTAGTGCCATGATCTTGGACTTCATAGCCTCCAGAACTGTGAGGAAATAAATTTCTGTTCTATGTAATTACATAGGCCGTTGTACTTTGTTATAGCAGCACGTAAAAAACAAGACAACGAGCAACAATGATGTGAACAGAAAGAACGTAGACATAACAAATGAACATTTTTGTCCAAATTAGGTCCACAAGACTTTATCTGTACCATCCAGACCCAAACACCTTAAGATTTTTGTAGTTCATTTGGTAGTAAAAACTGACCTTAATTGCCATGAGGATATTTAGAGTCTTATATTCCACTTAGCTGATTATTCACACATATCACAGCAAAAGTATGAACACGTCTGATTACCATTTCCTGCTCCAGATTCTGTGATAAGGGCTTACAGAGTATACAGGATATGAATGGTATAACTTCTGAAATCTTAGATTGACTTCCAAAGCACATGTGGGCTTAAGGGACTATGGATTTGTATTTTATGGAGGTAGGAGAGTTGTTCTCCATGGCAGTGAAAGAAGCTGTGAGCTGCCTTGGGCTTTGGCATATTTCCCTATCACGCAGGTAAGAAGCTAGTTCAGTCAGTGTAGAGTTGGCAGATTTATGGATGGAAAAAACTGGTGCTCCCTGGAGGAGGGAAGCAGGTTGAGGAATTACTGACACCTTCTAGGGGTGATGATCCCAGATGTGCTGGTGAAGCACAGACGGGTTCTCTTCATGCCTCCACTACCCTGGCCTCGACCAAACTGCAGAGGGAGAAACTCAGGTGAGAGTGAGAAAGCACAAAGACACTTTCAGTTAGGTTTGTATCGGTGTGACTGTCACTTAGCACTCATTTATTCGTGTATTCATACATTTATGCATGTTTAATTCATAGATCAAACTGGAGGGTCCACAAACAGGCTGAAGATCTCGTCTGGAGGGAGACTGCAGTGAACCCAAGATCTCTCAAGCGCATTGACATAAGAAGTATTAGAAAAGAATGAGCACAGTGCTGTGAGAGCAGCTACCAGGGGGCTGAACTGGGTCCCCTCCGCCAGGCTTCCGAGTCGAGCCCCCGGCTGGGTGGGACCAGAAGACGCGCTAGGCCTCGCCCAGGATCCCTCCCTGAGGACAAGCGGAAGGCAGCGTACTCTCTTTTCCCTCTTGTCCTTCAGCGTTCGCGGGACCCGGATGCTAGATCAGCCGTCCAGGCGCCCAGCTAGGACCCGCGGATGCAGCGGGCCCCATCCATTTCCGCTTCCGGCCGTGGGGCGGGGGTTTCCGGTTGTCGGAGGCGAGGCTTCACTGCTGTCAAGGGGCGGTACGGCCCGGAAGCTGCAGCGGCGGCGCGGAGACAGCCGGGCGGGCCATGGCGGCGAATCTAAGCCGGAACGGGCCGGCGCTGCAGGAGGCCTACGTGCGGGTGGTCACCGAGAAGTCCCCAACCGACTGGTGGGCGGCGAGGCGGGCCGGGGTCGGGCCAGGGGCTGCCACGGGGGTGGGTCTGTCTGGGGCGAGCCGGGGACGCGGGAGGAGCCGGAGCTCCAGCGCGGAGTGGCGCCGCCGCAGGTAGCCGGGGGCTTACCTGTCTCTCCCCTCCACGCCGCAGCGGGAATGCTATCTCACCCTCGTCACCCCTTGCTCCGCCGATTGTGGACAGGTTAAACCCGGCTTGGGGGGCCCCAGTGAGTCTGCCCCTCCCCCTGCCACTCGCCACCCAGTGTGGGCTCCGCGGGCTTCCATGTTGGATCCTCGGCCTGATTGTGCTTGCTATCTTCGCCAGGCTCTTCTTTCCAGCCCTGGGACTTCCCTGGAAAAGGGGGTCCTGCACAGCCCTCCCTAAGAAGGCGGAAGCCATGTCCTGTTTCTTGCAAACGCTGTGTTCAGGGATGGGCGGTTGAGACCGGTTTGGCTGCCGGGCTGGGAACGTGAGCCTTGCTCTGGGGGCTTCAGATGAGGAGCTCGGGGATCTGGGCTCTTGGTTCTTTGTGAACGTGGACTTCAGAACTTCGTTTCTCCAGAAAGTGTACTCTTTCCTGTGCCTGAGCCATGGGAAGATGTACGAAAGTAGGAGGCTTGCTATCTATTTGGGAAAAGGTCCCATTTTCCCTCCGCCACCCAAGATATCCTCACTTTCCCCTTTACTTAATTGTTTTTAGTGACCGGTTTTGGGAAATTCCAGTTCTGAGAAATATGCTGAGTACGGTGGGCTAAGGTGACCAACTTTGGGGAATAGAAACTGGGCACTGGAGGCTGAGTCGTGGAGGGGCCACCCTGTGGTCAGCACTGAGGCCCTCCCGACTGAGTCTTCCTCTTGTGTGGGAGCCATCTCCACTTTTATAAGTGCTTTCTCATCTCCTCTGCACTTCCCTAGTGCCCAGCACAGAGCGGCTTTTATACAGTGTACTGTGGTGGTACTGATGATGTTGTAGCTTTGCCTTTTCCTCAGCCCCGGGCCATTAGGGGAAGAGCTTTAGAACACCAGTTGCTTGGGTCTGTAGGGTCTCTGTAGACTCATCCAGGTCTGGGTTCCCTGGATGGCACTTGTGCCAAACAGCACCTCTTCTGTTTGGGAGGCATCTAAAGAAGGGTGTCTCATCACTTCCTTGGTAGGGTTTTCTGCCTGCTTTATAATCCCTCAGAAAATTTACCCACATGTCATCACTTGTTTTTCTAAGGAGAGCCCCTAGATGTCAGCCCCGTTTTGCCTCTCTCCAATCCCTGTTCGTGTTTCTCCTAGACCTCTCCTGGTACTTCAGACCCAGTCAAAGGTAGCTCTGCGGTGAGCGCTCCATTTTCATGTCCGCATGATACCATTTGACTTTAGAACCCAGACGAATCTTTGCCCCTCTCCAGCCCCGCCCAATTAAAGATTTTGCTTCTCTACATGCTCTTGATCATTCTGTTTACCCTTGCAACTTACCTAGGAGCCTCCTGGCCCTCCTGATCAATTTCCCTTCTAGGTCTGTCTTCATCATTAGTCTTCTCAGGAACCATCACTGGTTTGGGATGATGCCTCACAGCCCCTCTGAAGAGGGGCTTCCATAGCCTTTCTTTGGGCTGCTTACCAGAGCTGTCTGCTACCGCTCCTGGCCTCACATTTAAACCCACCCCATCTACTCTCTGTCCCTCATGAAGGTTATGGAGCCTCCTCTTTGCCCTCACAAAGTCAGAACCTACCAGCTTGTAAGATTTGAGGAAGAGGCACGTAACTGAAAGTGCCTTTGTGCATGAAGAACCTGTCACTGGACTCATCTGCCCAGACAGCCCCCCTGCCCCCTCCCTACCTCCAGGCTCCTGCAGCACTATAGGTTGTGTCACTCAGCAGCGTAAGCCACTGGCCTCCACCCTCATTGTCACAGCCATTAAGGTAGTTACTCAGCAGATACTGTGTGGCATATTCCCGCACACTGCGGAAAAATATCTGGACCATGTCACTTCCGTGCCTGTAACTCTGCAGCGGCTTCCTGTTGCACATTAAATAAAGCCTAGACTCCTTGCTCTGCTGATGACCCAGAACCTGCCACCTCTCCCATTTACCACACTGTGGCCACACCTGTTTGTCACCACTCTGGCTTTATTTCTCTTCCTCAAACTTACAAGCTGGTTCCTCTTTAGGATCCTTGCTCTGCTGCATCCTCTGCGTAGAGCACACTTCTTCCACATGGCCCCAGGTGGCTCCCCAGCCTTCACTTCTTGGCTGCTCTGAGATTGCCTTCTCACAGAGGCCGTCCTTGACTCCTAGCTTCCTGTCTGTAGGCACTTTTCCCCCTCTTTCTGTTTGACTTCCTTCAGAGACATACCCACACAACATATGCTGGAAATCCTTAGGACTTTTCTTGTCGCCTTCATCTCTTGCTAGAAGGGGTGGGGTGGGCCTTCTCTTTGTCCTTGGTGCCTGAGGCACAGTTGTTATGTGTAGCAGATGCTTAGATGAAGGGTAGACTGAGAGTCGTACAGAAAAGGTGGTAGAGAGATCAGAGGAAGAAGAGGTGGTCTTGGTGGGTCATGAGAGGTTTCACACACACAGTGCTGGCACTGGGGAGGCCATAGAGACTGGGGAGCCGCCATGACATCAGCTCTCCGTCTTGGATCTTATTGTTCTCACCCAGTTCATGTTTCACCCCCTGCACCTGCTTCACTCTCTGTTAGTACATTAGTGTTGGGTGTGTGGTTTTTTTTCGTTAGAGAGTAAGTTCCATGGGAGGACCTTTTAGGGATTGTTCATAGCTTCATTCCTGTCACTAGTAAGCAGTAGGCTCTGGGTTATTTTTCAGTTATTATTAACTGAAAATAAGGTTACTTATTTTCAGAAGGAATGATTGAATTAGAAGATGCTTGATACTCCATATTCCTTGCTGTTCAGAGGCCAGTGCACCATGTTTTTTCATGTTGATTTGAAACTTCCTTTGCCCTTCTTTCAAAGGGCCTCTGAAGTGGGAAAGAACCTCTGAACTGGGAACATTCTTATTTTATTATTACTTTGTTGCCTGGGCTGGAGTGCAATGGCGAGATCTTGGCTCACTGCAAACTCTGCCTCCCAGGTTCAAACGATTCTCCTGCTTCAGCCTCCCGAGTAGCTGGGATTATAGGTGTCTGCCACCATGCCTGGCTAACTTTTTGGATTTTTAGTAGAGACTGGGTTTTATTACGATAGCCAGGCTGTTCTTGAACTCCTGACCTGGTGATCTGCCTGCCTTGGCTTCCCAAAGTGCAGGGATTCCCAAAGTGCAGTGAGCCACCATGCCTGGCAGCTGGGAACATTCTTAGAGGTGGCCTGGGGTAGAGGGGAATGAAATCAGAGAGGTAGGTGGCAGGCATTGAGCTTGGTTCTTATTAGCTGCTGAGTCCCCCCTCTTTTTTTGAGAGGAGTTTCGCTCTTGTTTTCCAGGCTGGAGTGCAGTGGCATGATCTTAGTTCACTGCAGCCTCCCAGGTTCAAGTGATTCTCCTGCCTCAGCCTCCCTAGTAGCTGGGATCACAGGTGTGCACCACCATGCCTGGCTAATTGTGTATTTTTAATAGAGACAAGGTTTCTCATGTTGGCCAGGATGGTCTCAAACTCCTGACCTCAGTGGATCTGCCCACCTTGGCCTCCTAAAATGCTGGGATTACAAGCGTGAGCCACCACAGCTGGCTGAGTCCCTTCTTGCAAGAGCTGGGTTGAGCTGCCATCTTCTCTTCCCTGCTGCTTGTGTCAGCTCGCTGTCTTCTGGCAGCCAGGACTCTGACCATCAAGAGGAATGGGCTTTTTTCCTCCAGGGAGTTCCACCAGCTCTTGCTGGCAGTGTGCCATCTCTCAAATCTTTCTCTTGTTTCTCTGTGGTCTTTTCTCTAGTTCCTTTTCTCTGAGGTTTCTCGTTCAGTGTTTCTGTCCTGCTGTATTCCGTCTCCTTGCCCGTTAAGCAGTGGCTCTTTCCTGGTGGCCTGTTTCTTCCCTACCAACCATATCTACCGGGCCTGGGTCTAATTTCTTCCATCTTTCTCAGACATAAGCATTTCTACCCAGTGGCATTGGCAAAGCCCTAGGGAAGCCAAGTTGAAGCTGATTTGGTTCCTGTCCGACTGGAGCTTCTGTATGGCCCACCTCAGCAGGCCTGTGCTTTAGAGGCTGGGGAGATGACACACACCAGACTGGGTTTTGCCGTTGGCTTGCAGTTCAGTGGGTCAGTGCTCCCAACCCATGTCCAGCAACCCTGCTGGGGATGTTGAGTTGCTGCAAGGTTTGTGCTAATAGCTGGTTTTAAGTGTACTACAGGGAACCCCTCACACACATTACTTTTTACAGAGAACACTTCTTTCCTCTGGGGCACAAGTTTATAAACCAGAATGAATCTTTTCCAGAGTTTTTTTTTTTTTTTTTTTTTTAAGAGTTGGAGTTTTGCCCTGTTGCCTGGGCTGGAGTACAATGGCATCATCATGGCTCACTGCAGCTTCAACCTCCCAGGCTTAAGCAGTCCTCCCACCTCAGCCTCCCAGATAGTTGGGACTACAGGCATGTGCCACAATCCCTGGCTGATTTTTATTTTTGGTAGAGACGGGGTCCTACCATGTTGCCAAGATTGGTCTCAAACTCCTGGGCTCATGTGATCTTCTTGCCTCAGCCTCCATGCCTGGCCCAGAGTTCTTATGAATAATTAATCTTACAAGAAAAGAAAGCCGCCGGGCGCGGTGGCTCATGCCTATAATCCCAGCACTTTGGGAGGCCGAGGTGGGTGGATCACGAGGTCAAGAGATCGAGACCATCCTGGTCAACAAGGTGAAACCCCGTCTCAACTAAAAATACAAAAATTAGCTGGCCATGGTGGTGCGCGCCTGTAGTCCTAGCTACTCGGGAGGCTGAGGCAGGAGAATTGCTTGAACCCAGGAGGCGGAGGTTGCAGTGAGCCGAGATCGTGCCATTGCACTCCAGTCTGGGTAACAACAGCAAAACTCCGTCTCAGAAAAAAAAAAAAAGTCATGTCCCCATGTTACCCACGGAGAGATAAGGATCTGCTAGATAGAAAACTTGCTCATGGGGACCTGTCCGTGAAGGCCTTGGCAGGTTCATGGTTTTAACTGTGATTTCATGTTGTGGCATTGCCTTTCGGTTTCCGATGAACACAACCTGCAGAAGTGTGTGTTTACCAAAGAGTCTCAAGCCTGGAAGGACCTGCTACCCTACCCGCCAGGCTTCACTGGAGCCAGGGCAGACATGCACAGGAGTGGTGGGCAGCCTTCTAAGGGGTCCAGTGCGTGTATTCTCCAACTTGCTTCTCCTTTTGGGTGCTCTGGGTTCAGGAATATGTATGTTTTGTCTCTTCAAATCCATATACCTGGTGGCCAGGTGAGTATTTGACACATGACTGTATAGCAGTCATTGCGAAACTCCACAGCTCATGTTTTCCTCACAGTGGATGTGTGCTCCCCGCACCCCATGGTAAGTCAGGCCAGCATCATCCCAGCTACAGAGCTGAGAAGTCTGCGTAGTTGCCTACTGAGGACCTGCCTAGCGGGTCAGAGCAAATCGAGAACAGTCCCGTGTCTGCTCACAGTGTTACTGTCAGCCCAAGCTCTTTGGGGTATAGTGAGAAGCCATGGTAGGTGCGGTGTGGAGAGACGGAACCCAAGATGCTAGCCACAGAACTCACTTGTGTTTCATTTCAGGGCTCTCTTTACCTATGAAGGCAATAGCAATGACATCCGTGTGGCTGGCACAGGGGGTGAGTATAACTCCAAATGGACTTGGGGACACCAGGAGGTAGGGGGTGAGGTATGCAAAGGAGAGAGGATTGTGACCATCAGCAGTGCATTTCAGCTGGCATTTCAGCTTTTGCACAGGAAGAAGGGGACTCTTATCACACCGGTGGCCTCTGCCAGTAGCTCAACACCTTCCTCCACTGAGGGTGGGAAGTGGGTTGGAGCCTGCCTCCTGCAGACCCACCCCGCATTAACTCCATTGGGGGTTCCCTGGCCCCCTGATCAGGACATGAGCTGGCAGGACTCAGGGCCAGAGCACTCAGCTGTTTTAGTCCTCCAAGCCACATGGTGTTTCCAGTGCTCACTGGCAACTTCTGGCAGGCTTTAACTTTCAGATATGTGTAAATGAAAACACTCCTCCTCGGCTCTCCTCCCTTTAGGGTGCAGGGGAGTGCTTTCTCTGTGTCTTGTTTGGGAGAGCTGAGTGGGAAACAGGCTGACTCTCTCCAGCTTGTGGGCAGCCTGCGTCCGGGGAGCTGCAGCGGGAAGCTTACCAGTCCCAGAACTGGTGCTGGTGGAGAGAAGGTCCACAGACACGTCCTCTTCTCCCTTTGTCCCGTCCTGGTCTCGTGCCGAGTGCTTGCAGGGACCCCCATCCTCACTGGGAGAGGCAGTATCACTACAGATAGTCACAGGAGAGGCTCTAGGGGTCTCTACAGGAAGGACAGACTCTTGGCCAGCATAGGGCAGAGGTTGTCAGGATAGGCTGGGTCAGAGTGTGACCTATGGGCCCCCAGCTGACATCCCTGACTGCCCTTCCTCCAGAACTTACCTGACCCCTTCCTCTGTCCTGAGCTGGACACGGCTTCATCTTTCAATGAGTGCTCAGAGTGTGTTTGCCACGGTTTGGTGGCTGTTGTTGGTAGAAAGTCCCTTCCTTTCACAACCTTTTTAGGAGGTGTACTCTTTCTAGAAGGATCACCATTGAACAGTAGACATGTGGTGTAGCAGATGACTGGGAGTTGCAGGGATCAGCAACTCAGGTTTCCTATCATCATCCCCAGTGGCACAGGACAGGGCTCTGCCACAAACTCGACAAGTTGCTGTCCCCAGAGTGGGGACTCATGACCGCCTCCACGCACAGAGCCCTGTAGCTAAAACACCTCATCAGCTCCTCCTCCTTATAACCTGGGAAAGCTTGTGGGGGCTAAGCCTCAGTGGCAGGGGAGAATGGTTTAGAGCTGCCCACTCCTGTTCCCCCGCTGCTCCCATCACCCTCTCCTGTCTGAGAGTCTGTGAGGGCTGAGCTGGTTATACCACTGCAGGGCTTTCCATCTGGTCTCGCCGTCTGGGCGGCCCTGGAGCCTGAGCAGACACAGATGTAGGGAGGGGTGACTCCACAGGCCCTGCTATTCAGGTCCCCTTTGCAAGGTTGAGGCAACAATAAAATTTTGACATAGAGATCCTCCATTTGGAAGTCTGGTGACTAGTTTGCCGTGGAAATGACCGTTTTTCTTTCCAGAATTACCTCTGGATTTAGAGAAGTGGTTTTTAAATGAGTGTGGGTAAAAAAAATTACCTGAGATGCTTGTCAGAATTGCAGACTCCTGGGTCCCACCCAGCTCTCCTCAGTCGGTTTAGTGGGGGTGGTGCCCAGGACTCTGATTTTAAACATACCCCTAGAAAGATTCTGATACAGGTAAGGGTGAGAAGCCCTGGTTTAAAGGCAGCTTGGCTTCCCTTCCTGGTGGGACCGGGGCCAGCAGGGAATGTCAGGACCACCGCTTACCTTCCTTGTGATTCTGCTGCAGAGGGTGGTCTGGAGGAGATGGTGGAGGAGCTCAACAGCGGGAAGGTGATGTACGCCTTCTGCAGAGTGAAGGACCCCAACTCTGGACTACCCAAATTTGTCCTCATCAACTGGGTATGTAGAGCCCGTTTCATCTAGGTGTGACCCAGGAAACCCCATGGTCTTCTTTCCTGTTTTGTCTTGATGTCAGGAACAGAGTGTTTTACTGGCATGACTCAGTAGATCAACAGAACAGCTCTGAGCTGGTGCATGAGCAGAGTAGTTGATAGAGTCATTGTGGTCCAAGGAATAACTGGCTTTGCTATGCAGAATTCACCCTCCAAGCCTAGAGTTCTTTCTGCAGAATGGAGTGAAAGCATTCCCAGGGAGTCCTTGTCCCCTCCTCTTGAGGGTGGTTGTTCTGATGGAGTAGAGAGCCTGAGGGAGTGTTTAGGAGCCTGGGAGTGCAGGGACAGGGCCTCTGATCCCTTGGTGGAGATCAAGAAGACTTATAAAGACCAGGCGCAGTGGCTCACGCCTGTAATCCTAGCACTTTGCAAGGCTGAGGTGGGTAGATTGCCTGAGCTCAGGAGTTCGAGACTAGCCTGGGCAACGTGGTGAAACCCCGTCTCTACTAAAATACAAAAAATTAGCCGGGCATGGCAGCATGCGCCTATAGTCCCAGCTACTTGGGAGGCTGAGACAGGAGAATTGCTTGAACCTGGGAGGCGGAGGTTGCAGTAAGCCGAGATCGTGCCACTGCATTCCAGCCTGGGTGAGAGAGTGAGACTCTGTCTCCAAAAACAAAAACCAAAAGCTCATGAAACCCCCTCTACAGCAGAAGCCAGTAGCCATCCTGCTCAGAGAGTGTGCATGAGCCCCTTGGAGGCATGGGAACTTACTGTGTGACACAATCAGAAGAATAGGTTCTGCTTTGGGTGTTTCAGTTTTCTCTTTTCTGAGACACAGGGTAGATACTGGGTTTCCAGGGGAGGGAAGTGGCTTTGTGGGAGGCCTGGGTCATTCTGGGTATACTTGTGTTGCAGACAGGCGAGGGTGTGAACGATGTGCGGAAAGGAGCCTGTGCCAGCCACGTCAGCACCATGGCCAACTTCCTGAAGGTGAGGCCAGGCAAGGCCTGCTCCTGGGAACAGGCCTCACAGGCTTGAGTTCTTCCAGGTTCCTGGGTGCAAGCGAGCGGGAATCAGAACTGGAGTCGGGAGTGTGCTCGTGACTAATGCTCTCTGCCTGCCCTTCAGGGCATCACCAAAGGCTGCTTCACTCTCTATCAGCAAGTGCATGGGAGGTCAGGATGTGGCCAGAGCCAGCTACAGGCTGGCCTCCGTGGGGCAGGGTGAAGGATCATGATGGAGCTGGTACAGTGGGAAGGCTGGGCCCTGGTTCTGTTTTGATTTATGATCCCTCTAAACAGCTTAGTAATACTGTCAGGATTTGGAGGAAGGGGAGAGTGCTCACCACCATAGCACGCACATGCCCTTTGATGCATTCCTTTCCAGCCCATTTCTACATGGATTCATGTCAGTCCCACAATAGAACCTTTTTAAATTTTAAAAAATATTTGTAGCAAAAGCATTTATTGGTTACTTGTCAGGTAACTTTTTGCATTTCTCTGGTTGCATTTCTTTTGGCAAAGGAGATTCAGAATTTTGATATCTGGTTCCACCGACATTTCTTCAGCTATACCTCAGTTTCCATCTAGGAGCTGATAAGAGAATTCCCAGCTTATCGAGTATACAGGTTGGAGTATCCTTTACCTGAAATGCTTAGGACCAAAAATGTTGTGGATTTTTTCCGATTTTGGAATATTTGCATTATATACTTACCAGTTCAGCATCCAAAATCCGAAATTCTCCAGAATCTGAAATGTTTTGAGTGCCGACATGATGCTTGAAGGAAATGTTCATTGGAGCAGTTTGGATTTCAGAATTTTAGCTTAGGGATGCTCAACCTGTATCGCAACACACTTTTCTTTGTGTTGGGAACATTACAGTTTTTCTCTTCTAGCTAATTTGAACACAAATTATTGTTAACTATAATTTCCCACTGGGTGTGGTGGCTCATGCCTGTAATCCCAACACTTTGGGAGACTGAGGCAGGCGGATCACCTGAGGTTGGGAGTTTGAGACCAGCCTGACCGACACGGAGAAACCCCGTCTCTACTAAAAATACAAAAAATTAGCCAAGCATGGTGGCACATGCCTGTAATCCCAACTACTCGGGAGGCTGAGGTAGGAGAATCACTTAAACCTGGAACACAGAAGTTGGGCTGAGCCGAAATCGTGTCATTGTACTCCAGCCTGGACAACAAAGGCAAAATTCCATCTCAAAACAAACAAACAAACAAACAAACAAACTATTGAATACTAGAATTTATTCCTTCTACTTAACTGTATTTTTGTATCTGTTAAGCAACTTCTCTTCATTTTCTCTCCCCCATGCCCTTCACAGCCCCTGGTAACCACCATTCTCTCTCCCTCCAGGATACCCACTCTTTTAGTTCCCATCTATGAGTGAGAACAGACAATACTTGTCTTCTGTGCCTGGCTTATTTCCCTTAACATAATGACCTCCAGTTCCATCCATGTTGCTGCAAGTGACAGGATGTCATTCTGTTTCATGGCTGAATAATATTCCTTCATGTTTATATACTACATGTTCTTTACCCTTTTATCCACTGATGGACATTTAGGTTGATTCCATATTTTGGCTGTTGTTAATAGTGCAGAACACCAGAGTTGGATATATCCCCAGCAGTGGGATTGCTAGATCATATGGTAGTTATATTTTTAGTAGAACGAAAATACTGTTTTAAAAACGATACAGTTGGCTGTGCGCGGTGGCTCATGCCTATAATCCCAGCGCTTTGGGAGGCCAAGGCAGGTGGATCACCTGAGGTCAGGAGTTCTGAGACCAGCTGGCCAACATGATGAAACTCCATCTCTACTAAAAAAAAAATTCAATTAGCCAGGTGTGGTGGCAGGCACCTGTAATCCCAGCTACTCAGGAGGCTGAGGCAGAAGAATCTCTTGAACCCAGGAGGTGGAGGTTGCAGTGAGCCGAGATTGTGCCACTACACTCCAGCCTGGGCGACAGAGTGAGACTCTGTCTCAAAAAAACTGAAAAACAAAAAAACATGCTGTTTTTATAATGGCTGTACTACTTTACATTCCTTTAAGTGTATGGACTTATTTCTGGGTGCTCTGTTAGTTTCCATTGTTCTATGTCTGTGTTTATGCCAGTACCATGCTATTTTGATTACTATGGCTTTGTAGTTTAATTTTAAATCAGGTAGCATGAAGCCTCCAACTTTATTCTTTTTGCTTAGGATTGCTTTAGTTATTCAGGGTCTTTTGTGGTTTCCAGATGGCATTTAAAATTAGTTTTCACTGATTAGAAGGAAGGCCTTTAATGCAAATCATGCCTGGGCCATCTACTGATATGCAGCAGGGAATATATACAGCTATAGAAGGAACTACTGGATAGCATGTGGAGGGCGAGGGTCTCACATGAGCTGGGGCAAGTGTGAAGGGTTTGCTCCAAGTTGGTTTGTTCCAGCCCTTGAGGGGAACTTGTGTCTCGGTTCTCAGCAGCCAGACAGGCACCTTCTGGTTTCCTGATTCCAGTCCTGTGTGGTGTAGGGGTGGCCTGTGCTGTGTGGACTGACAGGAGTTTGCCACATTTTCTCCCGGGCTTGCAAAGCCTTTTTTTCAAGTGCTGCTCCCGCTGCAGGGGGCCCACGTGACCATCAACGCACGGGCCGAGGAGGATGTGGAGCCTGAATGCATCATGGAGAAGGTGGCCAAGGCTTCAGGTGCCAACTACAGCTTTCACAAAGAGAGTGGCCGCTTCCAGGACACGGGGCCCCAGGCCCCAGTGGTGAGTGCTGCCTGTCCATCGCCAGCCCTTTTGTTGCTCAGGCCCTGAGGGCAGGGGGCCAAGAGTGTGCACTTTCCAGCTCCCAGGCTGGCTGGGCACTTGCCTGCCTAGTTTCTGCAGATGGTCAGCCATGAGCTGTGGTGGGTGTCCACTGATTAGATGAGCAGGAGTAGCCCTCTGACCTTGCCTGGGGATTGGACTAGCTGTTCCAGAGCCCTCATCTGGAGCCCACCCTGTGCGGTCAGAATGGAGACTCTGCAGGATGCATGGCTGTGATAGTCTGGCGCCCTCAAGATCATGACACTGGCACATCCTTTCTTTCCCTGGCCCCCATCCATGAGGACCAGAGACCCATCCAGTGTATGGGATTGAGCCTACCCCTTGGGGCAGTGTCCTGGGCTTCTTTCAGGTCATCTTGGTGTGTGTCTCCTTGAGGGTCACTGGGCAGCACTCTGTTGCCACTGCTGGGTCCAGTCCTGGCAGCCCTCACCTGTGCTGTTGCGAGTTTAGTGAATTCTCTCCTCTGGTGCCTGTGGGCCTGGGCTTCCACCTGGGTTCAGGTTTCTAATGAGTGCTGTCCCCTACAGGGCTCTGTATACCAGAAGACCAATGCTGTGTCTGAGATTAAAAGGGTTGGTAAAGACAGCTTCTGGGCCAAAGCAGAGGTGAGTGCTTCCCCGGGTGTGCCAGGCACGTGGGAGTGTTCTGCTTGCTGTGGCTCAGCTTTCCTCGCAAGTGAGCTCGTGCAGCATCTGCTCTCCTTGGTGCCCATTACAGATGATCACACTGAGGCTCGGGTAGGTTAAGGCACAAGGCTAATGAGTGACTGGCTCTGTTGCCCGCCTTTGGCTCTGTGCCTAAAGCCCAGTCGTGGACAGGGGATGAGGCTAAAGTGTTAGCACGGGGCTTAGTGGGCAGTGGCTCTCCCCACAGAAGGAGGAAGAGAACCGTCGGCTGGAGGAAAAGCGGCGGGCTGAGGAGGTGCAGCGGCAGCTGGAGCAGGAGCGCCGGGAGCGTGAGCTGCGTGAGGCTGCACGCCGGGAGCAGCGCTATCAGGAGCAGGGTGGCGAGGCCAGCCCCCAGAGGTGAGACAGAGGTGGGGGCTAAACTGGGGAACCCACCCCGGGGCATTGCCGGGCACCTGCTCCATCCCACGGATGCGAGGAGGACTGAGCAGTGTGGCGTGAGAGTCTGTGGCTGTGCCTCAGCTGTGCCCCACCCGGCCCTTCCCAGCAGGACATGGGAGCAGCAGCAAGAAGTGGTTTCAAGGAACCGAGATGAGCAGGTAAGATGGGGTGCTCTACTTGTTTTGGCCTGTCCTGACCACACACAGAAGTCCCTGATCTCAGACTGAGGGCCTACCCCAGACCTGGGCAGAGGCCACCCTGCTCTCAGCTAGGGCAGGTTGACATCTGGCCACCTCAAGAGAGGAAAGCCAAGGGTAGAAGCTTCTGGCATGGACTGCACCTGGTCCTGGGGGAGTCCCTGTGAACCTCTTGGCTTCTGTATTTTCCTTCATTTTTTAAAATTACTTTTTATTTTTAAATGACTTTTCACCTGAGGACATGTTTTGCCTCTTGGCCCCACGCTTACCTTTGAGGGGCTACCTGGCCAACAGCTAGAGCAGCTGTGATCTGGGGAGAAGCGGTGAAAGTTTCTCCCACTGCAGGGGACGACATGTGCTTCCCTGCAGGAGTCTGCTGTGCACCCACGGGAGATTTTCAAGCAAAAGGAGAGGGCCATGTCCACCACCTCCATCTCCAGTCCTCAGCCGGGTGAGACCTCCCTCTAGGCCTGGCCACAAGGCATCAGCAGGCTGAGGGGGAGCCTGGGGTCCTATGTGGGCTCCCCTGAGGCTAGTGACAGATGTATCAGTGACAGGGATGAGTGAGTGAGGAGGAGGCACACTTGGGGCCCTTGACCTCATCAGTGACTACGCTGGTCACCAGTTTGGCCTCCAAAAGATACTGGGCTGCACTGTCTACCAGGTCACCACATAACACATAGTCCTGGGGTGTCTGTTCTGCACTAGCCAGGGCAAGCTCCTTGAGACTGCCTTGAGTACACCAGGTTGGAGTGTGGAGGGTGGGTCGTGTTTGTGTGTGTGCTTCAGCAGGTGGTGTTTCTAAAGTGATGTTGTGTGTGTTTACCTGGGTTTGCAGGCAAGCTGAGGAGCCCCTTCCTGCAAAAGCAGCTCACCCAACCAGAGACCCACTTCAGCAGAGAGCCAGCTGCCACCGTCTCAAGGCCCAGGGCAGGCAAGGCGCTTGTCACTCCATGGGGACCCTGGAGGACAGTAATGGAGGAGGGGGATGTGTGGGAGTGAGAACCTACTGTGTTCCCTGGTGCAGATCTCCATGAGGAGCTGGTGCCCAGCACTCCTGCATGTCTGGTGCAGGCAGAAGAGGAGGCTGTGTATGAGGAGCCCCCGGAGCAGGAGACCTTCTACGAGGAGCCCCCGCTGGTAGGTTTCTGCAGTGGGGCTGGGGCCAGGAAGGGGCTGCACACTCAGGAACACTTATCACGGGGCGCCTGAATTTTCTGGGGCATGCTCCCCAGATCCCAGGTTTTAAAGCACATGCATTTTTGGAGCAGCCCTGTGCTATAAATTGTCAGAGCAAGCACCAGCCTGTAGGAGGTGCTGGGTGGGGAGAGGGCCTTGTGGCCCATGGCTGGGGTATTTGTGCACCGTCCTGTGGCTTCTGTACTCTGGTAGGGTGGGGACAGCAGCAGCCCTCCAGCCTGTAGACTGCCTGCCCTCTGCGTACTCCCAGCTTGAACTGAGCCACGTGGGACAGAGCAGCAATTGGGTGTAAGGGCTGAGTCTCGGGTAACACCTTTGTCATCCCTGGGCAGGTGCAGCAGCAAGGTGCCGGCTCTGAGCACACTGACCACCACATGCAGGGCCAGGGGCTCAGTGGGCAAGGGCTCTGTGCTCGTGCCCTGTATGACTATCAGGCAGGTAAGGTGCCCTGGCCTGGCTGGCATGGACCACAAGGTCCTGAGGTTAGGAGACAAGAGGGTCTGGGGTTTTATGGGAGGATGGCTCCAGGGGGTGTCAGGAAGAGAAGACAGGAGGGTGGGCGGTGTGTTTAGAGGTAGAAGCACCTCTGGAGTGGGGGTGACTGTGGCACTGGAGTGTCTTGCACAGCCCAGGCCTCCCCATGTGCTCCTCGTAGCTACTTGCTGGCCGCTGATGTGAATCCCGGTTGCCATCCTTGTCATAGAACATGGGGTCTGAACAGGGAGGTGGGCCAGGCCTGGATGCTGGTTCCTCAGGCATCCCTGGGTGGAGGCCTTGGGGAATGGGGCAGAGGCTCCCCACGGAGCAGGCTGGTAGGTGTCTAGCCTTTTTCAGGAATGCTCTGTAGGAGGGTGTGCCCTGGGGGTGTGGTCACCAGAGCTGCTTTGGGACAGGGTGCAATGTTGGCCACAGCTTAGCAGGGTAGCAGAGGTGTTTCTGCGGGGGAACCAGAGCTGCAGTGAGCTGTGCTGCAGGAGCGTGGGGCTGCTGTGGGCTCCCTGAGCAGGTGGGATGTGGGGGGAGCCCCTGATGTGCATCTGGGCTCGTCTTCTTTGCAGCTGACGACACAGAGATCTCCTTTGACCCGGAGAACCTCATCACGGGCATTGAGGTGATCGACGAAGGCTGGTGGCGTGGCTATGGGCCGGATGGCCACTTTGGCATGTTCCCTGCCAACTACGTGGAGCTCATTGAGTGAGGCCGGGGCATGTCTTGCCTTTTCCCTCTCAGACCTGGCTTCCTTCTTGCTGGAAGAAGAGGCCTGGGAGTTAGCATTCTTCCAGGAATGGGAACCCCAGTGAGGAAGGGGCCTCAGGGCTCCCTCTGGCTTGGCAGACTCTGCCTGTCACCCCAAATGCAGCAATGACCTGGGATTCCCAGACATCCTTCCTGCATCCTCCCAACCCTCCCAGAGAGCTTGGCTCTTGCCCCTGACAGGATATTGAGCCAAGCTCCACCTGTGGCTAGCCCTCTGGTGACCTCTGAGTGGCCACTACCAAGCTGGGGGGACGGGTCCTGAGCAGGGCCATCTGGGAGGCTCTGGCTGCCTTCTGCATTTATTTGCCTTTTTCTTTTTCTCTTGCTTCTAAGGGGTGGTGGCCGCCACAGTTTAGAATGACCCTTGGGAACAACGAACTTAGAGAATCGTTTTTAACGGAGTTTGTGACCAAAGTCAGAGTGGATCATGGTTTGGCAGCAGGGAGGTTGTCTTGTCGGAGCCTGCTCTGTGCTCCCCACTCCATGTCTCTGTCCCTCTGCCTGGGCTATGGGAATGGCCAAGCTCCCACCCTGGGTATTGAAAACAGCAGACACAGCGTGTTCCTCCACGTGGCTCACTCGATGCCTGCTGGCTCCAGTGTGTGCCTCAACTGATTCTGACTTCAGGAACAGTAACACAGAGTGGCCTTGGCCTGTCGTCTTCCCCTGTTTTCTGTCCCAGTTCATCCATGTCTCTGAAGAACAAATATGCTTTTGGACCATGAATTGCCAGTTTGGTCTACACAGGCTCACAGTTGTGACCCGCCCTGCCGTAGCCTGAAGGCTCCTATGTGGGAACAGCCCCCACTCCCCTCCGCCCTGCCTGCCGGGTGTCTGCCTCTGCTCTGTCTGGGGTGAGCACCCTCACCCTGAGATTGCAGCTGATGATCAGCCACCAGGAAGAGGCATAAATGTTAAGATGGGACTGAAGTTGGAGCCTTCCTGCCTTCCATTTTCTCTGGGAGAGGCCAAGGTCTGCCCTGCTCTGCACCTCAGGGACCCTCTGCCTACATGGGATGGCATGCTGTGTGTGGTGTGAGGTACCTGGCACCCACAGAGCATCCAGGGAATTAGGTTCCTCTGGGCCCCAGGGCTGCTAGGCAGACATGCTTGACTCGCAGTGTCACCTGCTGGTGCCTGGGGTGAAGGCTGCATGGAGCCCAACCCTGCTCCCGGCCTTCCTGTGCTTTCCCCTTTTTGCCAGGGCTTCCTGGTGCCTCTCCCATGAAGAGTGAACTTCCTCTTCACTCCCATGGAAGACCCAGGTTTGGGCTATTGCCAGCCTTGAGGCCCCCTGTGGACTTGCCTGTCCCCACCCAGGAGGCAGGGCTCTAAGTGCTACCCCAGGTTGCCGGGACAGCAGAGGACCATCTGTCCTCTGCAGGAAGCTAACTGGGAACCTGTGCCCTGGCTGTGGTCCTTGCTCCCCATGGGGAGGGCTGGGTCACTTGGCCTCTCTCTAACGGGCCCCAAGCATGCCACTTCTACAGTATGGTTACCAAGAAGCTCTGAAGGTTCAGGGTCACCACGGGCTTGTGCTGACTACAAACTCATGGAGTAGTTGCAGCCCTTGCTCAGTGTCCTGATGACTAGGGGTGGGTACTAACTAGGCTTATGCCCCTGGTGACACAGGCATGGAGTGGGGGAGGGTGGATGGCTGCACCCCTTGTTCTGGAGTCCCCACAACTGTGGGTGAGCCTGGCACGCCCAGCTGCACTGTACTCCAGGCTGTGGGAGGAGGTGCCTTTATTGCCCAAGCCCACCCCTCACTTGGCCTTGCCCTGGGCAGCCACAGCCTCCATGGCCTTCCGCACCGTTTCCTCGTCACCCAGGAACTGCATGGGCTTGGTGGGCTTCAGCTCGTTGTTCAGCTCATACACAATGGGGATCCCTGTGGGCAGGTTCAGCTCCATGATCGCCTGGTCTGACATCCCTGTGCCGGAGGAACAGGTGTCCTTAGCCCCTCTGTACCCAGCCTGTTCACACAACAGACACTGTGACATTTATGGGCCACAGAGCCAGTCCCCCTGGCACCAACCCTCCCAGCCCTGAGAGCGAGGCCACAGAAGTGTCCCTAAAGGTCAAGGCGTAACTGAGTTAGACCAAGCAGTCTACAGAAATAGCACAGTGGCAAAAGAAATGGTGACTTTAGTCCCACCCAAGTGGCTGTGACCTGTGGTGGTGCTGTCCACAGTTCCCTCAGCCCAGTGTGACTCCAGCCAGACTGAAGTTGAGGGTCAGGAAGGATATTCGCCCTTTAGTTTCTAAAGTGCTCTAAATTCTACACCTGAACAGAGGAGCAAGTGCCCAATGGAGCTGGAGGAGGGAGAGGGAGGCGGTGCCTGGTCCGAAACCCGACCCTGCCTGCCTCCTGCAGCCCCCGAGCTGGGAATAGCAGCTCGACCTTTGGTGTTCGCACCACTCCACCCCTGCTCTGTGCAGGAGGGTTTAAGAGAATGTTATCTGGGGAGTCCGGCTCCTCCACTACACGGAAATCCCCATATTCACCACCAAAATACCAAGCTGTGGGAGGGCCATCGGGCTGCACGAAGCCCCCAGAAGGGAGAGGAGGCAGGTGGTCCTTCCCTCTGCCTGGCTCCAGTGCCAGGTGCCAGGTGTCCATGTGTGGAGCAGGCAGGCTTGGGGCTAGCCCGGTCTCCAGGACCTGCCGATCTGGGTGCCCTGGTCAACTGCCCATTGGCCCCAGGAGCAGAAGGTTTGGGGCACCCTTCTAGCCTTTCCAGGACTCAACAAGCTTGAAGGGCATTAAGATGCTAATTTAGACTGCCCTGCTGTTTTGAGAATACTAAGGTGGGAAGCGGAGTGGAGGTGCCTGTCACTGTAGGCGAGGCTGCCCTGCACCCATGCATCCTGAACCCATTTGTCTGTCCCTTGCTCTTCAGTGGGAGCCCCAGCTCTAAGCCTGGAGTCTGGCCACTTCAAAGCCTTGCACCCTGCTTTTGATTGGTCTTTCCTTTGCCCAGAGAGGGAGTCCAGAGGGAGATGGGTGGTGGGGCTCATGCAGGAATTTTGAGGACCTGATTGGGGAGGGCCCTGTGAGGGGTCCAAGCCTACATTGAGATGCAGTACCAGGGGGAACCCTGGGAGTTCCCTGCCACCCCAGAAAAGGTAGAGGCCCAGAGATGGAAGTGGCTTGTCCAGGGCCCCACGGAAAGTTGGGATTTGGAGCCAGATGCAGTGAGCCCAGCCCCTCCATTTCCTGGCTGAGTGGCCCTGGGCAGATGCCACCTTTTGAGCCTGCCCTGCCTCAGGACACAGCGAGTTTCAAGTGCAGTCAGCCCCTGTGGAGTACGTCCCTTATACAGAAATGAGGAAAGTTTCACAGAACTAAAAAATGGCTTTTCAGCCCTCCCTTTTCAGTGAACAGTGTGGAACCCCACGCCTAGAGAGTGGCCTGGGCCAGCGGGAGCATTTGTTGAGAGAAGCCAGCCAGGGCTGCCGCCTACCCCCCTGCTTGGGTTCCAGAGGGTGGCCTCACCTTCCAGGTGCTTGACGATGCCCCGCAGACTGTTCCCGTGGGCTGCGATGAGCACTCGCTTGCCGGCCTTGATCTGGGGAACGATCTCCTCATTCCAGAAGGGCAGGGCCCGAGCAATGGTGTCCTTGAGGCTTTCGCAGGTGGGCAGTTCCCCGGGCTTCAGGCCTGCATACCGACGCTCCTGGAGGACATAGGCACACCGGTTTCCCTCCCAAGACAGCGGACTGCCGCCCGACTCCCCACCCCACAGCCTCCCAGAGGCCTTCCCAGTGGAGGCAGTAGCCCACCTTGCTAATGGAGTTGTAGTAGGGGTGTTTGTCGTCCATGGGGGGTGGCGGGATGTCGAAGGAGCGCCTCCAGATCTTCACCTGCTCCTCTCCATGCTTGGCAGCTGTTTCCGCCTTGTTGAGGCCCGTGAGGCCCCCGTAGTGCCGCTCATTGAGGCGCCAAGTGCGCACCACAGGCAGCCACATCTGGTCCGTGATGTCCAGGATGGCCCAGAGGGTGCGGATGGCCCGCTTCAGCACCGATGTGTAGCAGATGTCAAACTCCATCTTGGCGTCCTTGATGGCCTTGGCTCCCCGCTTGGCCTCCTCAGCCCCCTTCTCACTCAGCTCTGCATCAAACCAGCCACAGAAACGGTTCTCTTGATTCCATGTACTCTCACCGTGCCGGACCATCACGAGGCGGTGGGTGGCCATGGTGGCAGCAGGGACCACAGAGGACTCTGGACAGGGACGGCCGTTCCCCAACACTCCCAGCTTTATAACAGTGTTTTCCCAGCCCCCACCCCAGCCAACTGCCAATCAGCATTCTAGGCGGTGGCAGATGACCAGTAGTTGAGCTTCTGGGGGCCAGGGGAGTGCAGGCCAAGAAGCTGTGCTTAAAATAGCCTCATGAATCCAGGGGCTCCTGGCCTGGGCTCAGGTGGCATGTCCATAACCAGCTGGCACCCAGAGCCCAGCCTGGGTAGGGCTGCTGCTCAGGGATGGACATGAAGGGCAGGAGTCTGGGCCAGGGGAGGTGGGGGCAGCAGGGACAAAGGGGCTCTCCAGGGTAAGGCTCGGTGGTCCCTTCAGCCCTTCTCTGCTCAGGCAGAGGCACAAACAAAATCCCGACCCCTTTCTCCTGTGACTGGCAGCCAGGCTCTTGTGGGGGGCCCTCAGCAGACAGAGGAGGAGAGCCAGGGGAGCTGGTGCAGGCCACAGCTTTGCGGGGAGGGGTCTGGCCTTGTGGAAGGTACCAGGCAGCAGCATGGGCAAGGGCTGGGGCTGAGCTGGGTTTCCAGGACAATGGGGGGAAAGGGTCCCCATCCCTCCTGTGGGGATCCTGACACCTTTGTCAAGGTGTCATTCATACCTGCCACATGCTCCTACCCTGTCTGCCCTCACCCAAGCCACGCTGACCCTCCTAGCTGAAACCACCTTGAAAAAGAGAAATCCAAGGCGGTTGTGGGGTAGGACTGAGGACTATCAGAGGTCTTGATTGTTAGGTAAGTGCTCAGCTTAAAAGGAACCCACAACGTAAGCTGAGGGGTGGCATGGAGTTTAATTCAGGACCAAGACTTCTGCATTCAGGTTTGGGGGATGAGGGCCACTGGGGCAGGGAAAGGACCATGAGCAATAAAGTCACAGTTGGGACCCTAATGAAGGGGTCTTGGCCAGACCCTTGGGCGTGGGCCCTATTCAGGGCTTTCCACTTCCTCCCACCCCAGTGACCACACTGTCACCTGCCACACTTGTGATAGGAGAGGGTGGGTGGGAGGCCAGCAGAGGGACCCCACTCTGAGACTTGGATCTGAGTATGCAAGAAACCCTCGACATGCTTCCATCCATCCCTGCTGGCCCATCTGGGGAGGGGCTCGCGGCTTGCGGCCTTTGAAGCTGAGGCTTCACAAAGGTTGGCACACAAGTCCCAGGGGGCAGAATCCTGTGGACTGCCAGGACCCCCAAGGCTGGTAGGTGCACTCCAGCTTGGGCAACAAGAGCAAAACTCTGTCTCAAAAAAAAAAAAAAAAAAAAAAAAAGTTGAACGGACACTTCACCAGTGAGGATGTAGAAGCCCATGAACAGATGGTCAACATTGTCAGGCATTAGGGAAATGCAAAATAAAACCACACTGAACTGCTATGTACCTACTAGAAAAGCTAAAGTTAACCAACTCTGAAACTATCAAGTGCTGGCAGGGATACAGAGCCGCTGCCTACTGTGACGTGTTTAACTTCCAGGGGGGCTCACATTGCTGGTGGACTGCAAACTGACAAAGGCACTCTGGGCTACAACTTGGCTCTTATGAAATAAACATGTACAACCAAATGACCCAATAATCCTATGTCTGGCTATTCACGCAAGAGAAATGAAGACCTATGTGTTACACAGAAACCTGTACCTGCATGTCTATAGAAGTACGATTCATAATCTCCAAATCCTGG